TTTTATCGATTGTTTTCCAGGATGGTGTGTTTTTGCTGCCCGGTTGCTGCGATCCTTTCAACGACAAGACCCTGCGAGCATCACGAGCTGCCAACTTCCGGATGCCAATCGCGGCTGGAACCTGGCCACAGATTCAAGCCTTCGGCAAAGCCAACGCCATGAAATTCTACGCCGGCATCCCGGAGCAAGTTCACTCCTCTCGGCTCCACTCCAAGAAAAACTCTCCGGAGGCACTGATAGAGAAGATCAAGAGTGAGAAATCGCTGTGCCTGGTCCTGGGCAGCGAAGGCCAAGGCCTCTCGGATCCAGCGCGGCGGGGCTCGCAACACCTCACAGTTCCAATGCCCGGCAAATTCGAGTCGCTAAACGTGGCAGTGGTGGGAGGCATACTGATGTTCCTCCTCATGAACAAGAACATCTAGAACAACAAGGCAAGCTGCGAGGTAACCAGGTTCATGAAATCAATCCGTAGTAACCATGTCCCTTTCTGTTTTTCCAGGACGATTTTTTCATTGTCTGCAAAGTAACTTGAAGATTTACAAGCTCTCTAATAGCACTGGAAGTAGATGCTTTAAAGTAGAAAACGTCGTTGCAGGAATACATTGGTATCTTCACGAATGTTGGAAATCAAAGTAGAAACTTCAGTCTGACAGTATGGCTAAAAGTTCTAATGCCTTGCCCGCCCAAACTTATATCCACCATTGTAGTAGGGCCACAGCCAACGTAATGCTCCATGATCTTTCCGCTACCATGCTTACGTGACAACAGACAAATCATAGCAAAGCAGGCCTTATATGAAAAGCCACAAATAGAACATAGATTTTTTAACCCAACCCCATTGATTTTTTATGAGCTCGGTTCTTCCTCCCGAAAAAAGAGCTGATCATAAGTTTCTTCCACCAGGATTGCCACGACAAATATTGAGACGATCACAACTAAAACACTTGACACTGATGTTTCCAGAGAGCATCTGTGATGGAAATGCCAGGAACCTTAGTTGGTTTCCAAGGTAAGATCGGAGAATGGACAAGAAACTCCTCACTACCATTTATACAACTATGTCTTCATATCTGGACTCTCTACGTTATCAGTACTGCGATTGCTACTAGGTAGTGGTGGAAATCGAAAAACAAAAATAACTTTGGGTTCATGAAATCAAACTGTAGTAACCATGTCTCTTTTCTTTTCCAGGTCGATTTATTCATTGTTAGCAAGTAACAAGAAGATCTACAAGCTTTCTAGCACTGGAAGAAGATGCTTTGAAACTGGAAAACCTGGTTGCAGGAATACATTGTGGTAGCTTCACGAATGGTGGAAATAATAGTAGAAACTTCATCCTGGCAGAATGGCTGGTTAAATGTTCTAATGCGCTGCCCCTCGTACACAAACTTAAAGCCACCATGGTAGGAGGGATGAATGTTTAAGCATCCACAGACACTGTAGTGCTGCATGTCATTGTGGCAGCCAGGCCCAAGATAGACGTCAAAGTAGCTCGCCTTGGCAAGAAAGAAAGAGATGAGTACCAAAACCATGACAAACATTGTAAATGCTCTTGCTGCCACCATTGTATTGTTGAAGTACGAATGGACGAAAGCTATTACCTTATATTTCTATGAGATCACTGATCCATCCAAGAAAAGCTACAAATACGACACAGATTTTTTAACCCAAACCCATGTTTGTTTGAGAGCTCATGATGATAAGTTTCTTCATCGGGATTGCCACGAGAACAAGTCTCGAGATGATCGAAACCGAGACACTTGACACCAATCTCCCTCACAAGATCATCGTCATGGCTCAACACAAAGTCGAGCCATTCTCTCGTCCCCGAGCTCAAGCACTCGGGTATGTCGATCAGCTCCTTGCTCCGCAGCTTATAGCACGATTCCAAGTCCTGCTCCTCGGCGGCCATCTCCCAAGGCAGCCCCCGTTCGCTCGCGACGTAGAGGCAAACGTAAGCCACCGAGACCAGCTCCGTCATCAAGCCTTCCATCCCGTCTACAAGGCTGCTGCGCGAGGCAAACACCAAGTCCAGAGCTCTAGCTCCTCGCATCCGAGGAACCACTTCCACCGCAACACCGAGATCAAACAAGTAGAAGCGGCGGCCGTCGGTGCGAGGCGATGTGTAGACCCCGATGTTATGGGACCGGATGTCGCAGTGGAAGTAGCCATGGTCCTGCACAGCACAGTTCATCAACACCATAGCCGAAAGTCACACAAGCTTACGTAAAGCTCAAACACAGCATGCGTCAAGTCCCTGCACAGCCACTGCGCGTCCAGCGCGGAGATTGGGCGAGAATCGTAGCGCTCCCACAAAGGCAATCCATCCAGTGTTGAAAGTAGTGCCGGCTTCCTGTTCCAGACGCCGGAGTAAACCAGCGACGGGAACAAGGGCAGGCTTCGTAGCACTCGCGCTTCTCTTTCGACCTGCAAGAGCACCGTGTGTTAGCCGAGTCATCAGCACGCTGTGATCTTCACGTACCTGGTGCCAGGACCTGGAATCGACGCAGAGCTCCCGGATACACTCTTTTGTTCCCGAGAGCATCCGATCTTCATGATCATCTCTTGATCATCGCGAGCGGTGGTAGTGAGCTTTGTACACTTGTGAGAAACTGAGTTGAGTTACGGGTACTACTTGTAGATCGTCACGTAGCGTAGCTCCTAGCGAGTGAGGAGATCAAGAGAATCGAGAGAAGCTTACCATACTATTTTCCTCATTTAGCTGCTACATGCAAAAGTCTCAAGTTGTGCCTTGAGCACAAATGCATCTCATCCAGAATTTTGCTTCTGGAGAATCCATGGCTTGAGAAGTTCTCCAACAGTGGAAGCAAATGAGGCAAATTTGTTTCTTCCTCCTGGAGCATTATGAGCGCTGCCACCACGCTCTGGCTCCCGTTGGCTCCAGCCCACCTCCGTAGCGAGGTACGTCCTTCTTGACTCTCAAAGCCTTTGTCCTTTCACTCACGTTCTCATGGTTCTCCACAGTGGGATAACAGTGGAATAGCCCGCATCGCCAAAGGCCAAGCCATCGGGAACGTCTCTCTCTTCCAGATTGATGTAAGCTTCTTCTTCTCTCGCAGAACCAGATGCTCTTCCTCCAAGAGAGCTGCACTGACACTTCCGGTTCCCTCATCGTCTACGCCCTGGTGGAGCTCACCATGATCAACATGATGATTCAAGGCGGTGATCCAGCTCACGTTGATGTGGCTTCGTCATCCTTCCCGACGGCTCGGAGCTGCACTCGACCGCCAGCACGAAGCACTCTTCTCACTGTGGCTGTGCAAATCCTCATCAGCACCCTACCCTGGCAAAGCTCTTGCTGGATTCCATTGTCGCCATCAACACCCTTATCTCCACACATGGTCCCGAAGGGGAAAGGAGTACTAAAACTAGCTGAAGCAATTTCGTATTACAATTATATTAGTTTACAGTAATTGGTATTAAAAATGAATTACAAATACTGTAGCAAGTAATAAAATCTTGCCACCACAAAATTCATTGGAAAGAAGCATTGACATTAAATAATGAGCTCTAAAGTCTCAACCTTTGAAGATCTCTTCCCTTCTTTCAGCTTCTCTTGTTTCCGTAAGTTTGTTTCTCGTCCTTCCCAGCGATCACGTCCCTCGTTTTGTCTCTTGAAGAAGTCTATTACCTTGAAAGGACCATCTTGCTCGTCCTCTGGCACTGCCTTGATTTCTCCCTCACCAACAGGCAGAAACCTCCATAGCCCCGTCCTTTTTGCCTGTGTTTTGTCTTTGACTCTTTGTTATTTACTTACTATTCAGCAGGGGAAAGTCAAGAACGCACCTCGGCCTTTCACCGTGTTGTCCGCTGGCACGCATTGCAGAGACACCACCTTGTACGGCAAGTCTTTCGGGTATTGACTTTCGTCTCTCGTGTGTGCTCTTAAGTTATGAAAAATGAAAAACAAAAGACCCAAGTATTAAGTTGTCTGTTCTATTAGAAATACTATAAGATCTTCCAAGCTCGGGACCGAGTCCGGCTTTGAAAAGAATTGAGATTATTTTTGTTCAAGTTGCTCTTCTGCTAGACAATTTTCCTGACGTGAGCTAGACTTACTGTAGGGGAATTCAACCACAACTCTCGCCTGAACAAGCTGGTGAAAATTTTAAATCCTTGTCAAGATTGATTTTCAAAGAACTTTCTTGATCTAGGAATCGAGCCTTACGTAATGCTCTAGCATTGGGATCTTCCTGCTCTGGTAGAACAGTGGCATAACATTAAGTATCTAGCTTAACTCTTCTCATCAAGTTTGAGATTGACATGAAAGATGATTCAGGGAGAAAATTGTCATCTCCCGCAGGAAAAATTCCAAGTTCATCAAACTTTTGTGGTTGCTATAATGCTTTAAACCATTTGGTTTTTCAAGGTGGGATTCAGTACTCCTGTTGGACTCGGTGGAGGATGCTGTTGCTGCTAAAAGGAGACTCGACTATAAACTTCGCATAAACAAGGTTCTTTGTAAACTCAAGATCTACTTTTGGTCCGGTATGTACGCTTTTTCTTAAAGTTCTTGGAGCATGGTGTGCAATGGTTGACCTGGAAGAGAACTCCTCCCATGAAGCAAAGAAGATTCGAGCAACACAGTCATGCCAGAAATTTCCATCTCAGAGAACGGTAAGCCACAGCTCTTGCGATCCCAACGTTTTCTTCGAAGGCCAAAGCCAAAGAGGTGGCGGACGCAGCTCCTCTGACTGCGAACACTTATCTTCGACGAGCAAAGCACGACACTCACCCCGCTGCCACCACGGGTTAAAATCGAAAAGGCTACTTTCCGTGATGGTTCTTAATTTCGAGTGGGCAATCGCGTTGAAATAGTCTACCCTTGCTTGAGCTCGTTGGGTGATTAGTTTAGTAGTTTTCAAGTGTCATGATGCTTTGGTTTAAAGCTAATATAATCAAGTCCCTTAATGAGGAAAATAAGTAATTGGGAATCAAATTTAAATCTTAGAGTTTATTCTTTTAGGGCTCTTCCACGTCAGCCGTTAGATCGGCGGTCCATTCATACGTATTGGGCATTAGCTAGTGGTCGCGAAAGGATTTCTGGAGCTTCGATCCGAGGAGAATCGCCCTCGTCCTAGCTCTGACCAGGAATCGCTGTCCGCCGAGAGTTTGGGTTTGGAGAGAATTCGAGTTGGACGAGGTCGCATTTGACTGGTCGATTTTGAGCGGCTTCTTGGCAAAGAAGAAAAAGGGGGGGGAGCGCGGGGAGGAAAGAATCAAGAGAGATGAGGAGCATTGGATCGATTCTTGCGCGGCTTCTTGTCTGCGGCTTCTTGATTTTTGGCGATGGATCTTTGAGCGATGGAGCTCGCGTCGCGCCGCTGCTGCGTGTGAGCGACGGGATTTCGTCGCAAGATGGGATTTCGTCACAAGAACGCCTCGAGAGGTGCGATTTCCCGCAGGGATTCGTGTTTGGAGTCTCGTCGTCGGCTTATCAGGTGAGATTTGATTCTTGTCTCTTGTCTTTCTCTCCAAGTTCTTAGATTTTGGGGATTTTTTCTTTCGTTTTCGTCTCTAGTATGAAGGCGCTGCCGCGGAGGGAGGGCGACAACCCAGCATTTGGGACACATTTTCTCATACCCAAGGTATGATCGATATCTCTTCGTTTCCTCGCAAACATTTTGATGAAACACAATCTCCTTTGTTCTTCCCAGGAAAGATTCAGGATGGTACCACAGGCGACTTAGCGAATGATCAATATCACCGATTTCGGGTATGGTTCGAGCGAGGATTTGAGAGCTCTGTAGAGTCTAATGGAATTTTTTTTTCTTCTTGTTTTGAGCTGCCAGGAAGACGTGGGGCTGATTAAAAACATGGGAATGGACGCTTACAGGTTTTCCATAAGCTGGAGCCGCTTCTTTATCGGTGAGTGGGATTTCCATTTCGTTGGAGGAGTTAAAAGTCCTTACGTTGCTTCTACCAGATGGTTCCGTGAACGTCGAGGGCCAGGCATACTACAACGCGTTGATTGACGAGCTTTTGAGCGCAGGTAAGCGTCCAAAGTAGTGCTCTTCTTCTGGTAGATTTAACTTTGTCCAACTCTTGACTAGGAATCGAGCCTTATGTGACGTTGAATCACTTCGATCTTCCCCAAGCTCTAGATGGCTCCAATGGTGGCTGGCTTAACTCGAGCATTGTGTAAGCTTTCTCTCTTCAAAATGCCGAGAAGACAAGCAAAAACTGATTGGTATGCTGGAATTTCCAGGGACATTTTTGCAGCGTATGCTGAGGCCTGCTTCGATGCTTTTGGAGATAGAGTAAAGACGTGGATCACATTTAACGAGCCGCAGCTTTTCAGTCTCAAGGCATACTCTGAAGGTAGTCACGCTCCCGGTCGGTGTTCTAGCTGTTCCAACGGGAACTCACTCACCGAGCCATACATTGTTGGACACAATATGCTTCTCTCCCATGCTGCTGCTGTTAGGATCTACAAGCAAAAGTTTCAAGTAAGTTGATTGGTTTCTTCTTCTCGTCTCTGTGTTTTAACATCAGAGTTTCCAGGCTCGGCAAGGAGGCAAAATTGGGATCACGCTAAACTCTTACTGGTTTGAGCCTTTCTCTAATTCAAAGATGGATATAGAGGCCTCAAAGAGGAGCCTCGACTTTGAGCTTGGCTGGTACGTATCTGTATGTTCTTTAGTTCTTGTTTGGTAAAACTTGGAGCAGGTTTTTGGAGCCACTCACTTCTGGAAACTATCCCGAGAGAATGCGTACACGCCTGGGGCCCCGGCTTCCAGTGTTTACAGAGGAGCAACGCCAGGCAGTGAAAAGCTCTATCGATTTTTTGGGACTCAACCACTATACAACGCGCTATGTCCAAGACATGCCTGCTGTTACACCAGCCAACACTGCCAATGGTGATTCACAAGTCTTGCAACTTGGTAAGCATTGTCTACTCTAAAAAAAAGTTGTAATTGTTGAAACTTTTTTTCTGAGCAGTTGCAAGGAATGGTGTCGAGATTGGACCCAAGGTAAGTTTGTCTTGAAAAAAGTATGTAAAGACTCACTTATGCTCGAGTTCTTTGCAGTCGGCTTCTTCCTGGTTGTACATAGTTCCTTGGGGAATAGAGAAGCTCCTTTTGTACGTTAAAGACCACTACAATCCTCCAGAGATTATAATCACAGAAAATGGTAACTTTGGCTCGTTACATGTACACATATCGCTTACATTTTTATAATGTTTTGCAGGAATGGACGAGGCAAACGATCCATCGGCTCCACTGGAGCAATCTTTACAAGACCATAATCGTATCAAGTTCTACCAAAGCTATCTAAAATATTTGCTACAGGCAGTCAAGTAAGAATCTTGTATGATAGAAGTCACCTCCGACAGCTTTTGTTTTATCAGGAAAGGAGTCAATGTTAGAGGCTATTTGGCATGGACCCTCCTGGACGATTTCGAGTGGAGATTCGGCTACATGCAAAGATTTGGGCTCCACTTTGTGGATTTCAATGACAACATGAGGAGGTACCCGAAATTGTCGTCGCTTTGGTTCAAGCAGATGTTAAAAGATCGCAACTGTGAGTCCAAGTCTGCTTTGTAAAAAGTAGGAAAAGAGAGAAAAAATATAACTGTTTTTTTATCACATTGATCTTTATCAGTTCATCAAAGCAAAGAGAAAAAAAGTTTTCTCTTGATCCATGTTTGCTTACTCTGCTGCCGCTCTCGAGCCCAGCCCTGGAATGTCCTCGAAAAGTTTCTAAGCACAGAGAGACCAATTCAGCAAAAAGAAAAGAAGCAAAAGGACGGAAGAGATCTTAGCTCGTTACCCCGCGGTTGTGGCTGATCCACCAGCTATCAAAGATCTTGTTTGTGTACTGCCATCAAGAGAGAAAAAAGCCCCCATTCAGCCTAAAGGAAGGGAAGAAGGAAGAAACCCACTTACGTGCTCGCCGATAATGCCGCCCACGAGAACAAAGGAGAGGTAGACTGAGTTGCGCCGCCCGATGGCGCGCATGAATCTATCCCGGAAGCCGGGAGCCTGGACTGCCGGCATCGCCTTCGATCCTCTCCCTTCCTCGCAAGAAATTAGGGCTCTTCACACTCTGGGTCTAGTGATCGATTCCAAAGCATGTACATCTTAGGGCTAGTCAAATCTGGTCAGCATAGAGCTAGTTGTCTAGTCAACTCTCTCTCTCTCTCTCTCACAGTTTCCAAGAGCACAAGTAAAACCCCTCTCTCTCTCTCTCTCTCTCTCTCTCTCTCTCTCTCTCTCTCTCTCTTGTGTGTGTGTGTGTGTGTCTGTCTGTGTTTCCAAGAGCACAAGTAAAACTTTTCGTGTATTGTTTAGTTCCTTTTTAAAAGCACAGGTAAAAACTTTTGGATTGTTTAGTTTGTACATTTGTTTTAGCTTTCTTACCTTGTCTATCATTGTATTGGATGACATCCATGGTCTGAAATTGTGTAAGACTATAATATCTGTGTGGCACTAGCGTTGCGTGCTAGCATTTGCTTGAACCACAACGCTGACTTCTTGGGGTATCGCTTGAGATTGTCGCTATAGTCAACGTAATAGATGCCAAATCTCGACGTGTAGCCTATCTCCCACTCGAAATTATCCGAGAAGGACCACGCAAAGTAGGCGCGGACGTTTACCCCGTCGCTGATCGCGAGCAAGACACCCGAGTTAGAATCTCGAAAAGAAATGGAAGCGAGCAGCATTACCGCATTGCTGCCAGCATGTATTTCAGGTACTCGTTGTAATAGTCGATCCTCAGCTGGTCTTGCAGCGCTTGTTCCAGTGAAATGGATGGATCGTTTAGCTCGTCAACTCCTAAAAGCGGAACAAAGTAAGTAAGGTTTGATAGCAAGGAAGTGACAGCTACCGTTTTCCGTGATGAAAATTTCTGGTGGATTGTAGCGAGCTTTGATGTATTTCAGCAGCTTTTCCATTCCCCAGGGAACGACGTAGAGCCATTTTGATCCAGCCTGCAAGAGAGAAATTCCTTCAGAGCGAGGAGGAAATCACCATTGAAGAGTTGATTACCTGCGGCCCGATCAGCACACCATTTCTACTCTCTGCAAAACAAAGCGTCTAAAGATTTAGATTTTCGCTCAAAGTTCCAGTTGAGAAAGACTTGCCAAGAGAAAGAGCAGCAGGATCCATCTCAGAGTTCGTGGCAACATCAGCCGGATCATCCTGAACATACCTTGACGTATAATGGTTGAGGCCCATAAAATCGATGGAACCTCTGATCTCTCGCCTCTGCTTGCTCGTAAACACGGGCAGTCGAGGCCCAAGATGCAGCCGCATGGAGCGAGGATATTTCCCAAACATTATGGGACTGAGGAACCTGGACAAAGTAGTATCCATCTTGAGCTTTTGAAGAACTTTGTTTAGAATATTCGTACCATCCAAGTTTGTAGTCGAGTCTCCTTTCAGCAGCAGCAGCATCCTCGGGTGAATCCGAAAAAGGCTCGAACCAATGCGTATCCAGAGCGATTCCAATTTTACCACCTTGTTTCTCCTGGAGAAAAAGAAGCGTATGAGTCCACAATCGTAAGAAAAATTGATGAACCAGTTACCTGGAATTTCTCCCTGTAGATCTTCACAGCCGCAGCATGAGAGAGGAGAACATTGTGAGTCACAATGTAAGGCTCCGTCAGAGAGTTTCCACCGAATTTGCAACCCGTGCATCGGCCGGGAGCGTGTGCTCCCTCGGAGTAACCTCGTGTAGCAAACGTGTATGGCTCATTAAACGTCATCCAGTTCTTCACCCTGTCTCCAAATGCCTCGAAGCATGCCTCGGCATACGCAGCGTATTTTTCCCTGCAGCACCATCGCCCAACTATCTCGTTGAATCAAAGGAATGAATTCTCAGCTTACGATATGCTGCTGTTCAACCATCCACCAGAAAGATGTAGCGCTTCGGGAAGATCCCAGTGGTACAGCGTTATGTAAGGCTCGATTCCTGGACCAAAGGATTTCTTAGAAAATCACTCCAAGAGTTAAGAGGGAATTAAGATGAGAAGCGAGTGCTCACCAGCTTGTTTCAGGCTATCAATGATCGAGTTGTAATAAGCGATGCCTTCCGGATTGACTTTATCATCTACAGCGAGCGTAATCACTTGTCAGAAAAGTTATCTCGAAGGAAGCGTGAAGAGGAGCAAAAAACGTTTAAAAAAAACAAGGAAAGATAGCGACCAGGAAAAGCTCGGCTCCAACTTATGGAAAATCGGTACGCATCCATGTTCATGTCCTTCATGAGCTTTGTGTCATCCTGGAAGAGCACAAATTTCCACGGTTTCACTGTCTATACAACGATTGGACGAAAGAAATAGCTGGCCTTGAACCGGTGATATTGATCAACAGCGATGTCTCCATTGCTGCCGTCTTTGATTTTTCCTGCTCATCCAGACAACGAATAGTAAGAACTCGAGCTTTTCAGGGCGTGATTCCTTGGTTTGCTACCTGAACTGTGAGAGAATGTGTCCCAAATGCTGGGTTTCCGCCCGCCCTCTTGAAAAGCCCCTTCAAACTTTGCAAGGAAACAAGAGAAGAGGGCGTGGATTAGAAGAAAGCAAAAAATTTCTGAAGGATTCCTCTACCTGATAGGCCGACGCCGCCGTTCCAAACACAAATCCATCCGGGAAGCTGCTCCTGCTGAGCGGCGCCGCGCCATTCTCCAGAAATGTGGATCCAAGAACGTATTTCAGGAGCACGGCGAGCAGGGGCAGGCGAAGATCCATCGAATCGAAGCGATGATCAGCCAAGCGCGCGCTCGATCACGCGCGCATTGCCCCTGACGAGCCGATTATATCAATATCTCTTATTAACCGCGGAATCCTCCATGACTGTTAACATTTGTCTCATCCTATCTTATATTCAATGGTTCTTAATTTCGGAGTGGGCAATCGCGTTGAAATAGTCTATCCTTGCTTGAGCTCGTTCCAATGGAATGGGTGAATAGTTTAGCTCGCCACGCAAAGTAGACTTTTCGATTTTAACTCGTGGTGGCAGCGGGGTAAGTAAGATAAGATAAGTGTTCACAGTCATGGAGGATTCAGGAGTTGCGTATGGGGTACCTGGTGATTCTAGAAAGAAGACCACCGCCTCTTTGGCTTTGGCCTTTCGAAGAAAACGTTGGGATCGCAAGAGCCGTGGCTTACCATCCTCTGAGATGGAAATTTCTGGCGTGCTTTGGAGGTAGGTTCAAAGGATAACATTCTTAGTTTGTTACATCTTCATTTACATTCAAATTGATTACATATTGGCAATAGTGAAGCGTGATGGATAAAAACGGAAAATATTAACTTGGCGCTGTGTTGCTCCAGTGCCCCAATTAAACCTTTGCAATTTGAAAATATGCCATTTATATTCACAAGTTTTTATTGTATTAAGTTTAGCTTTGAAAGAGTAAGGTAACAAAGGGCACTAAAGGGTGCTAAAAGGATAGTCAAGATAGAATAAAGTTGAGAAGTCTAAATAAAACTTATACAAGATTTTTATGAAGTAACAAATGATAATTGATACTTTGTATTTGGAATCACAATAGATATGAGAATACTTGAGTAGTAATCTACAAGATATGAAAGAATATTTTATTCGTCAAAAAAACTTATTTAAGGTGGATTAAAAGAGAATATAATTTTTTTATGGTGCAAATTCAATATATAAGCCATTACAATTTTTCTAAATCTAGATTTAAAAGTACCTCTAGCAACATTGCTTTTTATAATTTTATAATTTAGATCATGGCTATTACCATCCCACTCCTCCAATATAATAGTAGAAGTGTGATGCAATTAAATTGCATATAAAGATAAACTATAAATAACTAAAAAGAATAACTTAAGATTAAGGGCATGTGTTTGAAGGTCTTGAGTAGTATTGGGTTAGGAAGTTCAAATAAAAATTTATATTCAAATACTTTTATTAAATTTGTGACTTGAAATTGTTTATAATCTAAACTTAGAGTTATCTAACTCTTAAGTCTAAGAAATGAAATTTATTATCAATAATAACTTTCATTTTTGTATTGAACTACCATTTATAATCTATTCACTCCTATCCAAAAAGCTCTGATTGAATTTGTGTGCAATCAATAGCTTAAACACAATTTAGGAAACCACGTAATCTTTAAAAATTAATCTTCACTATTTGAAAATTTTCTTTTTTTAATATATATGTTTTGTGCTTTTATGCCACATATCTCTTGTAGCTAACTATCACAAAGAGATGACCACCTATTTTGTCCTAAAGTTATTCCTACCTATAATATTGTAAAGATCTTGTGAAGGATTTGTATTAAGATTATCGTTTAACAAATTGTAAAGGAGTTTAAATGTGAATACTAAAACTCAAAAGTAGCTTTTTCCAGCAATTTGAGTGTAGAAGAAATATCATTAATGCAAATTTCACTTGTTGATGTATATATCTTTAACAAGCTTATCTCTCATTGACCTTGAGTGAAATTTTCGCACTTAGAAATTCACTAAACACATTATTAAATTGCCATATTCGAATAAGTGTGTCCTTGATGAGAGAAGAAGTAGCAAAATTACTTAAAGCTACAGAAGAGTGTAGCCTTTCATATTTTTAAAGTATGTATTAAATAACAAATTCACATACCTTTGTTACCATTGGAGCTATACTCAAATATTTGACAAGTACTCGGTGAATAATTAAGTGGTTGACTATTCCTTTCTCTAGTATTGGTTGAATACTTAGTGTCATGTGTTCCAGAACCGTTTTACATTTGGCAGCTGGTTCATCGGAAAGTATCTCCTTGATCCTGCATATTGAAAGTTTATCTTTATCACTATTTGAGATCATTACAAACTCTCCTTCCTTATTATCATTTTTATTTTTCAAGGTTATTACTTCATCCTCAAAGCCACAAACACCTTGACCAAGTATGGCATCACTCTTAATTGCCCCTGTTGAGCTCTCTATTCTCTGTTGAATTAGGGCTTTTTAGGGCAAATTAAGGTGAATTAATAGCCTATATATAGTGCTTGAACTCGTGATCCCAAGATCTCAATTAAAGACCCCATTTTCTGTGTAGTTGATAGCTACAAAAAATTATAATGATGAAAAACTAACATTAGATAAATGTCATGGACTTAAAGAAGTTTTGGTGGTAGAAATATCTAAACTACACTAAATATATTTTTAGAAGCATAATCCAATGTCTCAAACACTTACCTCTAGAGTTTTTATAAGTTTATAAGTTCATTTGAGTTTCCTAAAAATAAAATTTTTAGTTTGAATGCAATGAAGATTTTAACTCACCACCCAAAACACTACTTTGAATTCTCAACTAAAAATAATGCTAGAAATGTCAAGTTTTCCTATGATTGCACCATTAATGTTACCATGGGTGCTTTTGAAATACCTGATTGTCCTCTTTGTAGCAATTCCATCTGCTTTGAATTTTCTTGGATGCACTAATTGTAGCACTGCCAAACTTAAATTTACTTTTTTTTGGCCACGAGTCAAGCTAAGAGTCAAGGCCCCCCAATTACCCAAAAGGGCCACATAAAATATTAAAGGACCTGGAATTCTCCCAGGTCCCCCACCCCCTCTAGAATGCGAGGTGACCAAACTAGGCAGAGGCTGAACCTCACTGTAGTCATCCGTGGATGTAAAGACTATATAATAGTGGCCGAGAACTTAGAAGTGGAGAAGAGCAAGATCCTGGCACATGGCAATGGCGTCACCTCATTGGCATTTTCTTTTATTTTTCTAGAGTTGGCTGTGTTCGAGAGAACATTCAAGAAAAAGGGGATATTCTAGGGAGTCAGGTTAAGGACGCAAGAATGTAGTGGAGCTTGGCATGAGCTGAAGAGGCAGAACAATGGAGCCCAAAGCAAAGTTGATGTGGTGAAGCAGCATATCCAGGTGTGGTGAGCAGTACATTGTGGGCAAAAGTGAATAGATTTTTGGTCGAGATCTTGGTGGAGTTGTTTGGAAGAATAGAAGTTTTATGTTCCTTCACAGCTCTTGGGGGTTCTAAGTTATGGCTTGGTGTGTCATTGTAATGTTTGGTGCATTAGCCACAAACCAAGCCAAGGAAAATAAAACTTCTATTCTTCTAACAACTCGACCAAGGCCTCAGTTAATAATGAGAGCCACTTTTGCCCACAATGTGGGCACACTATACTCCCTGGAAGAGAGTGCTCCCTTCAAAATCTATCTAACCATGTTTTTATTTGATAAATTCGAAGACAATGTTAAAGAGCCAAGATTGATGGAGAGGGAAAGACGTCCCAGCTTTATATATCATCCGTGGAACACGGCATTGAGAGGGCTACTGGGGTTGGCCGTGGAGAAGGGGGAGGATTGCTCCGACTGCATTGCGTGTTCCAGGGGCCTGGTGGACAAGTTTGATCAAGGGATTCCAGCCTCTCCCGCTGCTTCAAAGACTTTAGAAGCAATGCATAAGTGGGGACGGGCAGTGGTCCACTATCTGGATATATGTCTTTGGAGGAGCTGCTGGTGAGACTGTCCATCTTTGCCTCGCGAGGATGGGGATGCTACTGTGCTTGTAGCTCTATGTAGCACGAACATATACAAGTTTCCTCGAAAACTCAAGATATCACGACTTTTCCAGGATCCATAACTTAATCCCAGTTCTTAGCTCTATTCCTCCAACTTTGCTGCTAGCCAAGAGCGTGTGCTCCCTCGGAAGCCTCGTATAGCAAATGCCTAAGGCTCATCAAATGTGATCCAGTTCTTTGCCCTGTCTCCAAGGCCCAAAGCGTGCCTCATACGCGACAAATTTCTCCCTGAATCATCGATCAGATACTTTCATCTCAAGCTCAAACTCGATCAGAAAGAGAGATACTTAACCTTATGCTGCTGTTCAACCATCCACCAGAGAGGTACAGAGCCTCAGAAACTAAAAAAGATCTCAATCCTATTGCTTTCGACTCCTGGATCAAGAAGGCCAAAGTTCTTTCTCTATCCAAGGACTGAAAGTTTTGCAGTGAATCTAGCTCCCGCCAGGAAAATTGTCTAGCAAGGAAATGTGAAAAACAGCAAAAAGATCTTAAGCCTTATACCAGGATGGGCTCCAGCTTATGTATATTTCCATAGACATCTGGATACTTATGTAGGCATCCATATCCATCCCCTTCATGGACTTTATATCATCAGTATCAAGAAGAAATAGCCTCCACTTTAAACCTGTGATATTGATCGACTACGACATCGCCATTGCTCCTGTCTATAATTTTCCTGCTCAAATCTTTGATTGCTCGCTTGAATCGACCGTATGAGAGCAAACCATGCATTAGAAGAAAATCAGGAAATTCTCAAGGCTGAATGTTGCCCTAGATTCTATATATCATTCTTTTATGTCTTATCCGAAACTAGGGTTCTTGAGAGAATGTCGTACTTGCTACCCCACCTCCACTCCGGCTATGTTGTGGATCAAGCGATCCTCACGGAGGACGAGCGCGTCGTGGTGATTCGCTTCGGCCACGATTGGGACGAGACGTGTATGCAGGTAAGCTGGAATCGCTCTCCCGGTAATCTCTTTGCCCTAATTCCGTGTCCTCGCAGATGGACGAGGTGCTGGCCAATGTCGCGGAGCCGCTCAAGAATTTCGCCGTGATCTACCTGGTGGACATCACCGAGGTCCCGGATTTCAACACCATGTACGAGCTCTACGATCCCTGTACTGTGATGTTCTTCTTCCGCAACAAGCACATCATGATCGACCTTGGCACCGGCAACAACAACAAGATCAACTGGGCGCTCAAGGACAAGCAGGAGTTCATCGACATTGTGGAGACTGTCTACCGCGGCGCCAGGAAAGGTCGAGGTCTCGTTGTTTCTCCCAAGGATTATTCCACGAAGTACCGCTACTAAGAAGGAACAAAAGAACAAAACAAGAACAAGATGGTAATGGATCAATTTACGCGATTGCTAAGCGACTTCTCTTCTTTTTTACAGACTTTTCAAGCAGCAGTCCCGAGCTTGGAAGATCTTAGTTCTATCTAGTATTGGAAAAGGTATACTCTTTTCTAATAGAACAGACGACTTAATACTTGGGTCTTTAGTTTTTCATTTTTCATAACTTAAAGGGCACACACGAGAGGACGAAATTCAATACCCGAACCACTTGCCTTACAAGATGGTATCTCTGCAATGCGTGCCAGGCAGGAAATTCCGAGGTGTGTTCTTGACTTTCCCCTGCTGGATAACGAAGAGTCAAAGACAAAACACAGGCAAAAAGGGCGGAGCTATGGAGGTTTCTGGCTGTTGCTGAGGGAGAAATCAATGCGAGGACGAGCAGGATGGATGATATCCCCTCAAGGCAACAATCTTCAAGAGACAAAACGAGGGACGTGATCACGGGAAGGACCAGAAACAAACGTACGGAAACGAGAGAAGCTGAAAGAAGAGAAAGGTTGAGACTTTGGAGCTCGTTGCTCGGCGTCACTGCTCCTTTCCCTTTCGGGACCGTGTGTGGAGATGAGGGTGTTGATGGCGACTATGGAATCCAGCGAGAGCTTTGCCGAGGGCAGGATTTGCACAGCCACAGTGAGAAGAGTGCTGGTGGCATCGTTCTGGAGGACGCTGCTGGTAGAGTGCGGCTCCGAGCCGTCGGGAAGGATGACGAAGCCTGAGGGGAGCACATCAACGTGAGCTGGATCACCGCCTTGAATCATCATGTTGATCATGGTGAGCTCCACCTGGACGTAGATGATGAGGGAACCGGAAGCGTCAGTGCACTCTCCCTATTCCAGAACTGGAGACGCTGGCATCCGATCGTGGAATTCACTGCTGCTGGATATGTTGTCAATAGGGAGAGTGAAGTGAGCTTGGATATCGACAAGGATGATGAAATCTGGTGGGCGGAACTGGATGTAGTACCGATTGCAGGGCTACTATTTTCCTGGTTCGGCAAATCCATCTAGCTGCTGCATGCAAAACTCTCATGGATCCTAGTCGTGCCTTGAAACGAGTGGCCATCAGGGTTTGTTTTCAAAGCAAACACTCAGCAGGAATGGAAGAAACCATGGCAAATTCCCTGGTAGACATGTACGCCCACTGCGGAAGAACATATGGTGGAAGCTCGAAAAGTTTTCGATGAGAGACGTGGTTCACTGCTGCTAGGATATGTTGTCAATAGGGAGAGTGAATTGAGCTTGGATATCAACATGGTCTGGTGGGCAGAACTGGATGTAGTGGTAGCATTTATACCATACATAACCCTATTTTCCAGGGACTCTAGTCTTGCCTTGAAATGAGTTGTGCCAAGAATTTTGCTTCTGGAGAATTCATGCCTTGAGAAGTTCTCCAGCAGTGGAAGCAAATGTGGTTTCTTCCTCCGTGGAGCATTAAGGGTCTGGCAGTGCTGGACGTAGCATGGAGTATCTCTTATTGGAATCCTCCATGGCTGTAACACTTGTCTCGTCCTATCTTATCTTCAACGAGCTAGACTATTCACCCATTCCATTGGAACGAGCTCAAGCAAGGATAGATTATTTCAACATGATTGCCCACTCGAAATTAAGAACCACCACCCAAAGTGGCCTTTTCGATTTTAACTCGTGGTAAGTGTCAGGTTTAGGAAAGTTGGTGGCAATGCTTTATCTGTTGTCAAGCAACACTACCAAGCTCTGTGCTTGTGTATCCTCCGCAAGTGTCATGGAGGAAGCTCTCCATCACTCCACCGGCCAGTGACAATGGCAGCATCCATGCTCTGAATGCAGTTGAAGAATACAGGCTCACTCCAAGGATTGTATTGAATTTCTCTTCTTTTCCAGGGAGCATCTTGCAGCATGCAAGCTTCACCTAGGTAGAGTTGTTCGAAGCACGTACTTCCTGTTACCACTCAAACCTTATGGGGATGGGGGCAGAGGAGTGGGAAATACTTTACCAGTTGAACGTCACTGTAGTTGTCCTTAGGTGTACAGACTATATAACAGAGCGGCCGAGGACTTGGAAGTGGCAGCAGAGCAAGAAGATCCTCGCGCATGGTGATGTCGTCACCTCACTGATGCCAAGGGAATGGCATTTTCTTTTATTTTTTTAGACTTAGCGAGTCCTGGAGTGGAGAATCGTCAAGATTCCAGAGAACATTCAAGAAAATCCAAAGAGTGGTGAAGAGGAGGTTAGGGAAGTGAGAGTGTGGCATGACACAAAGAGGCGGAAGAATGGAGCCCAAAGCAGAACCACTGTGGTGAAGCGGCATATCTGGGTGCAGCAAGCAACTCAGGTGAGTATATTGTGGGCAAAAGTGGATCGGATTTCTGGTTGAAGTCTTGACTGAGTTATTGGAAGAATAAAAGCTTTATGTTCCTCCACAGCTCTTGGGGGTGTTGAGTCCAGGTTTTAAGTTCTGCATTGGTTTGTCATCATCATGTTTGGTGCATTGGCCGATGATGATGACAAACCAAGACAGAACCCTGGGCTCAACACCCCAAGAGTTGTGGGAACACAAAACTTATATTCTTCCAAAAAATTGACTCGCTCACCTTACAGTGAATCCAGGAAAAATTGTCTAACAATCAAATGTGAAGAGAAGAGAACAAAAAGATCTTAAGCCTTGTACCAGGAAAAGCTGGGCTCCAGCTTATGTATATTTCCATAGACATCTGGATACCTACATATCCATGCTTCATAGACTTATCTCATCGTGGAACGAGGTTAATTTTATCTCATCACTCAGTATCAAGAAGAATACTTTATGCCACATCGAGACCATATGGAAAAATGCTTAATAACTTGCCCTAGATTCTATATAACATCCTCTTAGGTCTTGTCCGATTACTTGTTGCCCCACCTCCACTCCGCTTATGTTGTGGATCAAGCGATCCTCACAGAGGACGAGCGCGTCGTGGTGATTCGCTTCGGCCACGATTGGGACGAGACGTGTATGCAGGTAAGCTGGAATCGCTCTCCCGGTAATCTCTTTGCCCTAATTCCGTGTCCGCGCAGATGGACGAGGTGCTGGCCAATGTCGCGGAGCCGCTCAAGAATTTGGCCGTGATCTATCTGGTGGACATCAACACCATGTACGAGCTCTAGGATCCCTGTACCGTGATGTTCTTGCGCAACAAGCACATCATGATCGACCTTGGCACCGGCAACAACAACAAGATCAACTGGGCGCTCAAGGACAAGCAGGAGTTCATCGACATTGTGGAGACTGTCTACCCCGTCGCCAGGAAAGGTCGCTCTCCCAAGGATTATTCCACCAAGTACCGCTACCAAGGAACAAAAGAACAAAAGAAGAACAAGATGGTAATGGATCAATTCGCGCGATTGCTAAGCGACTTCTCTTTTTTTTTTTACAGACTTTTCAAGCAGCTTGGAAGATCTTAGCTCAGGTATACTCTTTTCTAGTAGAACAAGTCGACTTAATACTTGGGTCTTTTGTTTTTCATTTTCCATAACTTAAGAGCACACACGAGAGGACGAAAGTCAATACCCGAACCACTCGCCTTACAAGGTGGTGTCTCTGCAATGCGTGCCAGCAGACAACACGGTGAAAGGCAGGAAATTCCGAGGTGCGTTCTTGACTTTCCCCTGCTGGATAGTAAGTAAATAACGAAAAGTCAAAGACAAAACACAGGCAAAAAGGACGGGGCTATGGAGGTTTCTGCCTGTTGCTGAGGGAGAAATCAACGCAGTGCTCCAGAGGACGAGCAGGATGGTTGATATCCCCTCAAGGCAACAAACTTCTTCAAGAGACAAAACGAGGGGCGTGATCACGGGAAGGACGAGAAACAAACTTACGGAAACGAGAGAAGCTGAAAGAAGGGAAGAGATCTTCGAAGGTTGAGACTTTAGAGCTCGTTGCTCGGCGTCAGTGCTCCTTTCACCTTCTGGACCGTGTTGGAGATGAGGGTGTTGATGGCGACAATGGAATCCAGCGAGAGCTTTGCCGAGGGCAGGGTGCTGATGAGGATTTGCACGGCCACGGTGAGAAGAGTGCCGGTGGCATCGTTCTGGAGGATGCTCGTGGTCGAGTGCGGCTCCGAGCCGTCGGGAAGGATGACGAAGCCCGAGGGGAGCACAGCAACGTGAGCTGGATCGCCGCCTTGAATCATCATGTTGATCATGGTGAGCTCCACCGGGGCGTAGACGACGAGGGAACCGGAAGCATCAGTGCAGCTCTCTTGGAGGAAGAGCATCTGGTTCTGATTAGCGTTGAGAGTCTGGTTGAGAGCCTGGACGAGCAAGAAAAGATGGTTATGATCGAACAAAGTTGCGAGAGGAGAAGCTTACATCGATCCGGAAGAGAGAGACGTCGTTCCCGGTGGCTTGGCCTTTGGCGATGCGGGCTACTTCCTGAACCATTCCACTGTTATCCCACTGCGGAGAACCACAAAGACGTCAGCGAAAGGACAAGGCTTTGAGAGTCACGAGCGAGGACGTACCTCGCTGCGGAGGTGCTCGCTGCGGAGATAGTCAAAAACTCGGGCTGGAGCCAACGGGAGCCAGAGCGTGGTGGCAGCGCTGAGAACTATGCCGTGGGGCTCGCCGGGGTTGTCGACGCTCTTGCGCGTCATGACACGGATATCGTCGTGAACGCTGCCAGAGAGTGTTGTCCACTGGCTGCTCGGAGCACCAACGCCGGCGCAGAAGTTAGTGGTCATGCGCTGCGACAGCTTGAGCAGGGACTGGCGAGCAGGAGAGTTTGGAATCACTGCAAACAAGACGGCACGTAAGAACTCGCTGGAACTCTAGAGGATGGAACTCTCACCTCCGATTTCTCGAGCTGAAGCGAGACCCGGGAGATAGCAAGTCAGTGCTTCGCACTGACGCTGGAGAGTGGCCAGCCACTTCCGCGCACCGAAGGCTCCACCGCTACTCACCAAGGATTTAAAGAGCTGATGGACGGGCTGGTCGTCGTACTCCATATGTTCCACGACAACAACCTGAGAAGACGAAACGAAACGAACAAAAGTTAGCGATGAAACCAGACGAAAGTAACCTGAAAACACGCAGTAAGACGAGACGAAACCGGAGAGCGACGAAAGAAACGTAAACGAAACTTAAGATGAAACCAGACTAACGAACGAACCGAGAGATACCTTGGAGCAGCCGTTTGGCATGTCGTGGATAGAATCCGGCATGTCTTGGATTAGCATTCCCGATGGAGAGCGTCGGCAATGCAACGAAGCTGGGGATGGCGTTCCATGGAGACCATCGACGGAGACGTCAACCACGGCCCAGGTGCTGTCCTGATGCTGCTTGCAGTAACGAAGGAAGTAAACTTCCCTGGTCTGCATCAGCGGGGAGAGAGCTTGGATCTCGGCATACATCTATAGAAGGGAGAAACGTAAGAACAATCAGCATGAGACTTGAAAAACAGCGTTGCATACCAGCTGAAGTGTTCCACTTAAACTACCGGGAGCACAAGAGATAACTTCCAGCGTCAGTGCTTTTGAAACGTTCGTGCAAAACATCTCCATCCACTTCGCCTGGCAAGGAGAAAAAAAACGCGTGAGAAACGAAAAACCGAGTTACGAACTAGAACATACCGGATCCATGAGAACTTCGACCAAGCTCGCGGCGTTCATCATCACAAGCCCATCATCGCGAGTGGCATCGGTCTTGAAACCATACTGCTTGCTTTCAACGAACTTTGGAAACTGGCGAACGTACTCGTCGTAGTTAAGCACCTCCTTGGAGGCGTCCGGGCTTGGGATCCACACCGGCGAGTCAGGCTGTGCGAGCTGGACGAGCTCATCCATTGCCATGACTGCCAGGTCAAGGACGCTGTTCTTCTCGACGTCGCTCAGGACAACAGATTTGTTGGTGTTAAGATTGTTGGCGTTCGAAAGCTCCTCGACTCCTGATGGTGGCGCTGAAAGTAATCCAGCCACCTGTGCTGGAGGAGACATCGGATTGCTCCCTGCAGCACCCTGGATGGAAAGGTTTAGAGACGATCCGGAAAACTGTGGAGCTTGTTGGGAAACCATCGGCGGTACCGATCGTCCAAAAAGCTTTGCAGCGACAGCAGACACTCGATCGAGCTGGACAAACAACACAAAAACTTCGTCGTTAGAACTCGGGACAAACAAATAAGACCAAAGACCAGTACCTCGTCCTTCAAGCAAGCGTTCTCGATTCGCAGGTGCTGCTCTTCGAAGGACATCTCTCGCAGAGTTGCAGGGCCTCCGCAATTTGGACACGATGCATTGCGTATCGCCTCGCGCATGGTGATGTTTTCAGCGCGGAGCTTCTCCACCTCGTGGCGCAAAACGTTGTTCTCCGCTCGCTCCTGCTGGGCCTGGACAGACAAGGAAGATCTTTACATCAGAAACGCCAAAGAAAAGCTTTTGGAGCTTCTATCCTACCTTGAGCTGCGTGCGGCGATTCTGGAACCAGAACTTGACTTGCCGAGGCTCCAGTCCTAGCTCCCGGCTCAGCTCCTGGCGCTGCTTATCGTCGGGATGAGGACACTCCTTGAACAACCTGGCACGAAGAAAGATAAGTTCTCATCATGCTCTCGGCTTGTAGTACTTACGATTCCATCTCTTGAATCTGCCTTGCAGTGTGACGATGATAGCGCTTCTTCCTCGGCGGCTCCTGCTCGTCACCCGACGCGTTTCCCATGTTCTCGCTGCCGCTGCCGGACCGGCTCTCGTTCTCATCCTCCTTGCTCTTGCTCTTGACACCGAGCTCGCCATCGGGAGCCGGCTTGGACTCCAGCTGCATCTCCGGACAGTTTGGCTGCTGCTACAGCACGAGCACGAGACAGTGAGCAACGCTTCTCAAGATCTTCCGGCCATTCATAGCCCCCCGGAGACCACACCCAGCGAGCAAGAAGCAGGCAAACATGCTTGGAACAGCTAGCCGCGAAGGTCAAAACCAAAACTCTCAAGCTCCATTCAATGCAACCGTTGCTGTTCTTGCAGGATTCTCACACAGCCACGGAACCCATGCACGCAAGCGGACGAGCTAAGGCTAGACCAACGACGCAAGAACCACAGAAAGACATGAAAGCTAGAGCCTTTTGAAGGACATGAAAGCTAGATGTTTTTTTGGAGGACTTACCAGGCCGAGCGAGAGTCCAGGAGAAGTGAAAGAGTTCTTCATCTGAGGCGGCATGCCTGGAGCGCCCCTGTTGATGAGCCGCGACGCCGACATTGGAATGTTTGCGAGGTCGGAAAGACCCATAGCTCCAAAGCCGGCATTGTCCGCCAGGAGAGCCACCGTCGGGCCGTCAAACCTCATCTTTGCTGGTAAGCTCGTCGCTTCCTTCTAACTCCTTTCTTGGCTTTCTTCCTTGCAGACGCCCGCTACCAATCTAAACTAGAAGTGTAAGCAGTCCTCCGTGACCGTGTCCTCTTTGCCAGGATCCTCTATCTATCCTACGATTCAGGGGGTCAGAGAATCCAGCCAGCGAGAGGAAGTGGACCAGAGAGAGTGTGGGAGGCCAGAGCCGAGTACATGAAACGTACGTATATATCTCACCAGAGAGGAAGAAGAAAAAAGAGAGAGCACTTCGTCGTGAAAGAGAGTGAGATGATGGTGTGAGTGATCTTCTCCTTGGTTTCTCTCAATCTATCTTCCTATCTTCGTTTTGCTGCCACTTCTCGAGCGTTCTTGCCTCCACCACCCTCTCCAAAAGAGCCCAGAGAGAAAGAGGGAGAATGAAGGCAAAGCACGGCTGCCTTCTTTCTCACTCTTTCTCCCCCTCTCGAAGCGCGCTACCTAATGGAGCCTCAAAGCTCGCGCAGCGCCGCGCCTCAATCCCGGGCGATCCCGCGACTGTCCATCCGCATTGCTCACGCGGCGCGCTCAGCCGAGAGGAAAGCCCCCTGGATCCTGCCCACCACCGACACAGCCCAGCTCCGGCGATGCCGGATTGACGCACCAAACTCGCAGATCCGCAATGTGGGTCGGCAATGTAGGCCGCGGGGATTCGTGGGCAGTGCCGCGATGGGACGATCGAGGCCTAGATCGCTGGGGATGAATCGCTAGACCCCTCTCTTCTATCTCCAAAACAAAAGGATATCTCTCCCAAGAGCTCTAAACCCCTCTTTTTCGCTCTTTTTCTATATGATCTTCTCTCTCTCCCAGGCCAGGTGCGTGCCGATTAAATGCTCTGGATGAATAAACAAATGCGCGGCGCGGCACAGTGGATGAGAGAGACGAGGACGCGCGCGAGTGAGAGGATCTCTCTCTCCTCTCTTTGCGAGCGGTGCGAATCGAGACTGGAATCCTTGAGAGCTCGAGGCAATTAGCGAAACCAGCGGAGTGGTGGTAATCAGTGCTCAAAGTGGTGGTGAAAACCACCGAATTGGGGAAGAAACCGATGAGAGCTTAGCACGCCAAGAATCTCTCTTTCTCTCTCTCTCTCTCGTCAATGTTCTCTTGTTGATTTCTTTCTCCTTTCCTGCAGTTTTTTTGTGCATGGTTTTTTTCCTTCTTTTCGCGTCTCTAATCCTCTGTGAAATCGCAGAGATTTCCACAGTGATGGCATTGAATGCGATTGCCACAGGCTTGCCCGCTTGGCGTCTCTGTGTACCGCGCGGCATTAATTGCGTATATGCACTGGCTCGCCGGCCCCCAGTTCTTAGCAGGGGAAAAAGACGAGACGTGTCTGCTGCAAATTTCTGCTTGATCATCGAAATTCGTCGCTAGGCCGGCTCCGTTTCCACCAAAGCGTTCGAAATCGATCGGGAATTGCGAGCCAATCGACCGGAGCAGGGGCAAAGTGATAGTGATCTTGCCCATTTTGCTGGCGCGAGTTTTTTTTGAAATTTTTGAAAATTAGGGCGCTGTTCTAGAGGAATCCTACGACCGTCATTAAGCCAGCTGTTACGCTTAACGGTTAGCGATTAAGTACTAGCTAACGGAAGTTCTAGGGACTTTTAGGTTAGGTCCGTTTTTTAACTTTTACTCCGGGGGCGTGCCGGCATTTATTGTAGTGCTCTGCCGTCGGATGCGCGATACTGGGCCTGGCAGCGACGGCTGCGATGCGGAGTTCGTGGGATGTTTCAGGTCAAAAACGCATGGCTCGGTGTTTCAACTTGTCGATTGCCAAGATTTTTAAGCATCGATGCGAGTAATCTAATCTACGTGTTTGCATGCTTCGATTGTTTACCATGTTTTTTTCTAGTTTTTCACTCTCGTCGGTCGGTGACCACCTTGAAATTCATAGAAAATGGGCTTGTTTCGATTGATTCGTCTTGCCTTAATGCTGCAAGAACTCCGCTCAGTTTGTGTTGTTTTGCTTGCTTGCGGATCAAAAACATTCTATAAGATCAATGAATGCTGCACACGGGTTTGGGTTTTGTTTCCTCTCATCGCCCTCTTTCCAGGATCAAGTCTCAAGGACATGGAGTTAATATCTGGATTGCTCAATCTCCCTTTTGGTTATCCTGACGTTTTTTTAACCTTGATCTAGCCCTAGAAAAAGGTGGTGGCGTGGCGGATATCACGTCTTGGTCTCCCTCCCAAACTGCACATTCAATTCCCCTGCGGCAATTGCCAATGTGGCTTGCAGCTGCTACGCAAAAGGAACGCATTCAATTCTCCTGCGAGATCCATCGCTTCGTCTCGTTCGTCTCGAGACAAAAACGGTGGCAACACAACTCAACTCACCAGCTGTAATTGAAGCGAACTCGAGACCTCACTGCTCGGCCCGCCACCTTTGCTGTTTTGTTCATTGAATCGAAACGAAATCCACCCATCCGCAGAGCGATCCAGTCCAAACGTTACACTGATATTTTCTATGATTCGTCACACCCTTGGATTCTTTCCCAGCCTTTTATTGTGCTTGTGACGTGAGAGTTTTCTCTCTCCGCGCCGTGCCGCGCGGCGTACCGCCCGCCGGCGGCACGGCGTAGCGGCACCGCCTGCTGGGATGTTGACCGCCACGCGTCATTCACGTAGCTTTCCATAACCGTGTGTGGCGGCGATCTTGCCGGAAGATAATTCCCGATGGTCGTGCACACGCCACGTCATGTCTGCCATGCCATGCAATGCGCGTGAAAGAAATCAAATTTTCTGTTCTTACTTTTACCGCCATTAACTTTCTCACGCAACAGGATATTCTCTGCCGTGGAATATTCAACCTAGAACCCTAAAGAATTTTCGCGCCGAATGGAAAAATGTGAACGTTGGGGCTTTCTCTAGGGTTTTCCGGGAGCTCGCCATGGAACAACGGGTGAGGCGCAATCTTCTGGGTGGATCGTCTATGGTGCTCGGCAAGGAGCTGGGATCGCCGGAGAAGAAGCTCAAGAAGAGCGCCACTGCTTCCAAGAGGTACATTCTTTGTTCTAGGGTCCGGATCCGAGACTGTGGGTTTGGGCGCCAGGGCGCTGGAGGAATTTTTCGAGGCTCTAGAGTCGACCGTGGCGCTGCTGAAGATTCGTAAGCAGTCGTGTACATTCGCTGCTGTGTCTGCGCCTGTGGAGGCCCTCACAAAGAGGTTTTCTTTTTTTCTTGTGTTCTTTCTTCTTACATTGTCTCTCATTTGGGCAGGCGTTTTCTTCGCTCTCATCTGGCCAAGATCAAGTATCTCTTCCCGGAAGCGGTCGAATGCGACTCTTTTACGTGGAAAGACCCCGACACCTCTTCGTTAAAGACGGACATACGGATAAAACTCCTACCGTTTTCTCCCGAGCAGCCAGCTTCCGTGTCGAAATCCGTCAGTGGAATGGCGAGAAAATGGAGTGCCGAGACCGTCGCTCGGAGGCGTGAATTTCAGAAGAGGATTGCTGCCTTCGAGAAAGATGACGAGGTTCCGGAAGCACAGCTCGTGGAAGAAGTGACGAAGATCAAGGTTCCAGACTTGGACACAGGCGCGGCACCCATCCCCAACGTTTTAGCTGGCAAAGTGGTGATCAAGTCTGGATACGAGGATATAGTGGAGCGGAGGCTTCGTTCGGACGATGCGATAACTACGTCGCATTTCTCACCTTCGTTTCGTCGCCACTTCTCCGCAAGACAGAGAAACGTGGAATCTTCTGAGCTACAACAAGCGTCTCCAGAGCCTGAAACTCCTCAAACCTGCAAGGTTGCTCCTCGAGCTACGACAGGGGCATTCACGGGTCCCGATTCTACTTCCAGGCTTTATGCTTCCGCTGATGCTCTTCCAAAGATCGATCACGACGCTCCCACACCTCCGAGGCGGCAGAGCGTTGTCAAATCTCTTCAGTTCGGAAGCGCGGAAAAGAAAAAAATTCTCGAGTCTATTCCAAACGATCTTCTTCACTCGGTAAATTTCTGTTGAGTTTCAGGAGTGCTGACTAGGCTTTTTCTTTCTTAGGTGCATGAAAAGGAACAGAAGGAGCTAGAGGAAAAGAGCATCGACAAGAGACGACAACAAATGCTTTCCGGGCTTCCACACTTTCTCAACATGACAAGGCTCATTTTTCAATCATTGGGTCGCAGCACAATGCTACACAAAGACCTCGTCGAGCAAATCGAGTCTTCCGCAACTGAAATAACAGACAAAAGTACGTGAGTGTTTTTCTTTAAAGTTTTGTGATAACTGGAGTAATCGACAGATGAAATCGAGGAAAGGCTGCAGTTGCTACTAGAGCTAGCTCCGGAGTGGATTTCCTCGCGAGCTTCGCTTGTTGGAGGCACGCTTTACAGGTGAAAAGCAAGCAGCACTTTACTCTCCGATCTTGTTTTTAACCGAACTAGTTGCTCTCAGGGTCCAAAAGACGGCTGAATTTTCCACGATCCGCAAAAGAATGCTGGACACTGCTTAAAAGGTAAGTTGCCGGCTGTAGCAAAAAAATTTAAAATCAGATTGACGCCGGAAAGGAGCTCATGTTTCCAGAATCTCTGCCGGACAATGGCTCCGAAAGCTTGCTGTCTCTGCCGGACTCCGAAAGTTTGCTCGGAGGCCTCGTATCCTGTTCCTTCAGCGATTCCAGAATGTCCTCCAAGCTCTTTGCCACGTTTGTCATGGACGGTCTCATCTTTCCCCTGACGTCCGTGCATTCCAGAGCCAGCTTCGCCGCACGGTACAGCGGCTCCGGCATCTCGGGCACAGCCAGGGCCGGATCAAAGAGCTGGTGAAGGGTGTCATCGTTGAGCAGCTCCTTGGCCCAGATGACAATGTTTTGCACCGGCCGGAAGTGATCAACGGGCTTCTGGCCAGAGAGAAGCTCCAAAAGAACAACCCCGAAGCTGTAGACGTCGCTCTTAGTGGTGAGTTTCATGAAGAATCCATACTCGGGGTCGAGGTAGCCGGGAGTTCCGACGATGGTCATGTTGCTGAGATGAGTTGCCGATCCCAGCGGGCCAAACAGCGACAGTCCAAAGTCCGAGACGTGAGCATTCCACTCGTCGTCCAAGAGAATGTTGGCGGACTTCACGTCCCGGTGGATGATGGGCGGACAGGCATACTTGTGGAGGTACTCCAGTCCGCGAGCGGCTTGAGCAGCGAGCTTGATCCGGCAAATCCACTGCAGACCAGTGCTCGGCCCAGATCTCGCGAAGATGTTATCATACAGCGATCCTCTCGACATGAACTCGAAGACGAGCAGCTTCTCCTCCATGCAGTAGCCGACCAAGTTTACCAGGCACGAGTGGTGCGTTCTCGTGAGGAGCTGGAGTTCCTTCTCGAAGAGCTCGCTCGATCTACCAAAAGTTTGTGAGGTGGTGGGAGGAACGAGAAATCGGAAAGCTTGATCGATCTTACCTGGTGCTTGAAATGCTAGCTCGCTTGATCGCTACCGCCTGGCCGTTCTCTAGCACGCCTTTGTAGACAGTCCCAAACGCTCCCTTGCCGAGCACCATCTCCTCGCTATAGCTGTTCGTCGCGACTTCCAGCTCCAGGGCCGACATAGCGAGCGCTTGACCGGCGGACCGCTCGTTCTCGTTCTTGCTCGCTACCACCTCTAGCTTCCCGTCACCCTGCTGCTTTGGATCATCCTCTTTGCTCTTCTCACGCCGGAGGAGATAGAGCCATGTCGCTAGCACGAGCAAACTTCCCAAGAACAAAGCTGCCGCGATGAGCAAGATCACCAGAGCAGTGGAACGAGGCCGCGATCTTGTGTCGCATTTCCTGTCGCTTAACGGACCGCAAGGAGAAGCCTCGGAGTTGCCAACGCACACCGAGCAATCCAAGCACACCTTGTCTCTCACCACTGGGCACAGTTGATCCGCGGCCTGGAACTGGCTCCTCCCACACTCGCTGACGCACATTCCCCGGCTGATCGTGAAGTTCTTCTGGTACCGAGGATACCACACCGAGTTGCCCCAGCACACCACGTCCATGGGAGGATCCATCCTCATCCCGCAAGTGTAGAAGTCCCCGGCGGCGATCTGCGAGAAGGAAACATCCAGTGGAGCCGTGAGCTTGCCGTTGTCTTGGTCTCCCCAGCATAGAACTTGGCGATTGTCCGCGCGGATCCCACAGGTGTGATAGAGCCCTCCAGCGATGGATAGAAACTGCAGTCCAGTGGGAGGGGTCGACTGTCCATGGTCGGCGGTCCCCCAGCAGCACAGCCTCCCGAGTAGAGTCACTCCACAGGCAGTGTTTCCTCCCGCGAAGATGGATCCAAAGGTCTCGTTGGATGGCTGCAAGATCTCCTTGCGGAGATCGCCCCAGCAAACCGCTGTTCCAGCTTGAGTGAGGCCGCAGGAGAATCCCCAGCCGGAGACCAAGCTCGCGAATGCCATTCCAGCCGGCGGCGCTGGGATCCTCCCCCAGCAATCCACGAATGAGTTGTCGCTGCGTAGCGCGCAGACGTGGAATCCCCCGGAGGCCACGATCGAGTAGCTAACTTGCTGGAGGTCTTGCGGGACTTGGAGCTCTCCCCAGCAAACAATGAAATGCGATCCATACTCGACGCCACAGGCGAAGTGGCCGCCGCCGGAGAGCGCCAGGAACTGGGTCGTGTCGGGCGGATTGCTCCCGTTGTGGTGAATTCCCATGCATCTAACGCGGAGATCCGTGGCGTGGAGAGCGCACAAGGCAAAAGTACCTGGGATTGGGATGCTGGGGTCTGCGCTGCCGCTCCACATGGCGGCGATCGTCCCCATGGGGCTGAATCCACGCACGGATGATCGCTGCTGGAGGATCGCGAGGGCGACGATGAAGAGCCAAATCGCTGCTGTAGTGTTGAGCATTTGATCTTGAAATGTGGCGCCGCCACAGAGAGAGAGAGAGAGAGAGAGAGAGAGAGAGAGAGAGATCAGGATTTCGGAGAGAGAAAAATATTACCCGGATTTGAGAGGTTGGCGACAAGACCCACATTGAGGATTAGAAGTCTTCATATTCTGCAAGAGTGAGAGACAGAGTTTTAGCCCCGGGTGACGGATTGCACGATCTCCTTGGTAGATTCCCTAGAATATTCAGGAACTTTAATTTTCATAAAAACTACTGTGCTTAATATTAAAAGTATATTTCCCCCAGGTTTTAAATCAATTATTATAAAAAGTTTAAAAAATGTTTGACTTTCTTACAAATATTTTAATAATTTTTAATCATATTGCTTCAAACCTAACTAGGGTGGTAGAAATTTGAACTATCCAAGGTTTTTCAGCTTCATTAGCGCCTTTACAAAAACGGTGTCTGATGCCAACAAATTGCAGACATGATTGCCCAAATTGTAGCAGTCTAGGTCGTCATCACTTCAAACCGCCCGGCTGCAATCCCTTTTGGGATATTTCGCCCTCAGAGCTTCTATCGCAATATGGGGCTATGAAGTGGTGCCCATTGAAAAGTTCCAAGAGACAAAGAAGGATAACGTCTTGAATGTGTAATTTGAAAGAATCATGGATTTTTACCCTCTCTAGCATTAAAACTCACTTTTGCCGCCAAAAAGTTTTTAAATATTTGAAGACGACTTAGATTGCATAGTCGACTGGAGCCTCGCATTCTTGTGCATGGAGTTCCTCCAAAATCTCCTCCAAGCTCTTGGCCACCTCCGTCATGGACGGCCTCTCCTTGCCGCTCACTTTGGTACAATCGAGCGCGAGCTCTACCGCGCGGTACAGTGGCCCCGACGCAGCCGGCACGTCCAGGGCCGAGTCCAGCACCGCGTGCAGCGCGTCATCCTCCATCAGCTCCACCGCCCAAGCCACGATGTGCCGCGCTGGCCGGAACGGGTCCACGGGCTTGGCGCCCGACAAGAGCTCGAGCAGCACCACTCCAAAGCTGTAGACGTCGCTCTTGGACGTGAGCTTCATGGATAATCCATACTCCGGGTCGAGATAGCCGGGAGTTCCAACGATGGTCATGTTGCTGAGGTGAGTTGCCGATCCCAGTGGGCCGAAAAGTGAGAGTCCGAAGTCCGAGACGTGGGCGTTCCAGTCGTCGTCTAGAAGGATGTTGGCCGATTTCACATCCCTGTGGATGATCGCCGGACAGGCGTACTTGTGGAGATATTCGAGTCCGCGAGCGGCTTGAGCGGCGATCTTGATCCGGCAAATCCACTGGAGGCCAGCGTCTGGACGTGATCCACAGAAAATGTTGTCATAGAGTGATCCTCTCGACATAAACTCGAAGACGAGGAGCTTCTCTTCCATGCAGTAGCCGACCAAGTTAACCAGGCACGAGTGGTGAGTTCTCGTCAGCAAATGGAGTTCCTTCTCGAAGAGCTCGCTGGATCTGTTTAGTTTACAAGGCGAAGATATAAAAACTCTCGAAGGAAAATGAAGACTGCGAAGTACCTGTTGTTGGAGATGATAGCTCGTTTGATCGCTACTGCTTGACCATTCTCTAGCACGCCTTTGTAAACCGCCCCGAATGCTCCCTTGCCGAGCACCATCTCATCGCTATAGTAGCCCGTCGCAACTTCAAGTTCTAGCGGCGACATAGCGACCACGCGCGGCGCAGCAGAGAAATCGTTTTCGTTCCGGGTTGCTGGAATCTCTTTCTTGCCAGCATCTTGCCTGTCATCCTCCTTACGTCTCAGGCAGAGATAAGCGCAAATCACTGCAAACCCCAGGGCCAGGATCACCGCCACCAATATCAGCACTAGAGCAAGCCTTCTTCTAAGCTGACGTTGATAACTTCGAGCGCTTCCGGTAGTAGAGGTTCCAAAGCCACACATCCTATCAGCGCTGGCACCGCACGCCGATATCTCTTGCATGTGGAGGCACTGTGAGCATGCCAGGCACACCTTGTCCCGCAAAACAGGACATGGCAGCGAGAGCTGGTCGAACTGGTACTCGTCTCTTCCACACGCGCTCACGCACGGAGCCGGGCTGACGTTGAAGCTCGCTTCATGAGGATAGACCACCGAGTTCCCCCAGCAAAGCACTTGCATGGCTCGATCCAATCTCACTCCACACGTATAGAAGTCCCCAGCCGCAATCGCCGAGAACGGTACGTCCAAAGGAGCACTAAGTTGCTTATGCTCGTTGTTTCCCCAGCACAGGACGCGACGATCATCCGCCCGGATCCCGCAAGTGTGATACAGGCCCCCAGCAATCGCCAAGAACTTAAATCCAACCGGAGGACGAGACTGGCCATGATCATCTCCTCCCCAGCAGCCTAAGTCCCCTAACGAAGTTACTCCACAGACGTTGGAACTTCCAGCAAAGATGGCCCTGAAAGTCTGGTTAACCGGCTGCGCTACATCCTGCCTAAGTCCCCCCCAGCAAATCGCTGATCCCTCTCGAGTGAGGCCGCAGGAGAATCCCTTCCCGGAGATCAAAGACGCAAACGCCAGCTTTGGAGGAGGCTGATCGATGTTCCCCCAGCAATCCACGTTTGAGTTGTCACCGCGTAGCGCACAGACGTGATCACCACCCGAGGCTACGCTGGTGTAGCTAACCTGTTGGAAGGTGTCCGGGACAGTGATGATTCCCCAGCAAACTAAGAAGTGGGATCCATAGTCGAGGCCGCAAGTGAAGAGGCCACCACCGGAGAGCGCAAGAAACTCCTTCTCCTTTGGCGGAAGGCTGTTGTTGTGTGAAGTTCCCAGGCATTCTACATAGAGAGCCGTGGCTTGTATGGCGCATACAGAGAAAGCACCTGGAACGGGGTTGTCTTGGCCGCTCCATGTCGCGGCGATCGTTCCCATAGGATTGAACCCCTCGGCTGGAAGGCTTGCGAGGAGACATGCTGCAAGCACCGCTGCCGTTGCGAAAGGGGGCATTTCTTGCTCGATTTCTTGGCGAGAGCAGCGGCGCCGGTGTGGGGAGGAGTAATGGAGCGATAGAGCAAGAGGAAACCTGCGCATCGGATTTTCCAAGATCCATGTGGCATGTCGATCCAGACAAGATCGTTTGCTGATTTCCCAAGGAACATCCCATAAACCCTAGCTAGTCAATTCAAATTTAACGCGGGAATAAATACTTCCATAAAGGTCATTAAACGCTTATTTCGTATTAACAGGGGAACACACTTTTAAACACTGGTTTAGGGTTTAGGGTCTTCGATCTTTTATTAACTCGCTACTTGTAAGTCAAGTTGTAATAGAGTAAACATTGCCTTTTGTTGTGCTTGCTTAAATACAAGAACCTGCAAGCTATATAATATAACTTTCAATTTAAAAATTATTTGGATGTGACAGTTGAAAGGTTGAAGCACATGTATTTAAGTTCTCCCCTTATATGCTTTTATTTTACAAGGAATTTTGAAAATCTACAAGTTATAATAAAATATTGGCTCACCAGTTTTTATTTTGACTAATTAGAGATTAATATTTGAGCTTGTCACAATGAGAAAGAAAACTTCCTCATCTACCTCTCTAAATTTTATTGTATTATATATCAATTATATAGTATGAGGTAATGAATACTTTGGTGTCTTTCTGATTCTAACTTGATATTTTGTAGGTTTAGTGCACGCTTTTCACCTAATACTACTGCATGCAAAGAGGTTTCTCACTCCAAAACTATTTTAAAATGAGAGTTTGTTTATACTTAGACACACTCTACTCACCAGCAATGTTTAGCTTAAATCCTAAAATAATATATTGGATGAATGCTTTTCATCATAAATTAATGTCAAATAACTTCTCCCACCATATGACTTGGAGCTTTGGCACAATTGCTATAATTTATTGATGGTAATATGGTCTCAATAAATATTATTGAACATATTGATGAAGTGTTAAATAAAGAATATGAAATCTTGAAGAATTTTTCAAAAAAGAGGGAGAACATGAAGATGTGTCTCAATAAAAAGAGATTCAAAAGGCTATGTAAAATGTTGAAGTGGAATATTAATCAAGTTGTAAAATTATTGAAAACCTGACTTAGTTGAGGCAACTATGGAACCCAAACCATACTTTATTAACATACCAATCTTTAAAGAAGCCATTATTGATATTAAATAATTTACTAAAGTTGCAAGTGAAGTGTTGTGTTAGATTGATTTAACACTTTCTAGGACCTTTACAGAGTATTTATATTTGACTAGAGCTAAATAATAAAATTTGAGGAAGCCATTGATATCATATTAAAAAAATTTCATTGAGAAAAGACAATAGAAATACTAGTAAAATACTAAAATAGTAAAGAAGAAAAATTAGATGTATTGAATATTTAAACCCCAAGTTAATCCAAAAATGTAATCCATATTAATCCCACATACTCATCTATGTGCATAGCAGATTTTGAATTCAAATCCCATGAAGGTTTAGGTTTCAATTCCTATTGTAGTCAGTAGTGGTGAATATATTCTTCATTAAAACAGAGAAAAATGACAATTACATAACACATAGTAGATTCTTTGAAAATAATATGCTACCAAATAATATTTCACCCCAAAGGGAAGTATGTGGAGTTCAAGATGTTCTTTCAATAGATTTACTTTTGATCTCACCAAAAAAATGCATGTTTTTTCAATAGCAATGGTGTTTATTACATTTCCCCTCACAAGCCTTTTAGTGGTATATTTATTTCTTTTACCATGGGCTGCATGATATAATAGTTTTAAAACTTGATTTTATATTTATGAAAGTATCTAGTGATACAATAGTTCTTTGCTTTGCAATCACTAGAATTACACATTTTATAAATTATATTAATTCCTAGATCATCATAAATTGATCTTGAGATAGGACTTCTTATAGTATGTAAATTAGTTGTACAAGCACCTTTTGCATGTAGGTTTAATAATGTTTATGCAATGCCAATACAATACTTCAAAACATGCTTTTTAAATTTTACTCATTGTGTAATCAAAGTTGTTTAAATACTTTTAAAAGGACTTGTCTCGAAGAAACATAAAAATATAATCTCTTAAATAAGATTTTCCAAAGTTAAAGTAATTTATAATCTTAGAATTATAAAAAACAAAACATGTGGTATTTCTTACAAGGATTCTAAAGGGAAACTCATGATTGTAAGAACTTGTTAAATTGTAACAATAATGGTAGAAGTTTTGTGTTTAAGCAACATAAAAATTATACAAGTAATTTTTTGGAAGCAATTTCTATGAACCACAAGCACAATTACAAGTAATAATCTTGATGGGAGTTTCAACTTTTATGAATTCCACAAACTTGCAAATTTACATGAAACACTTGGACCACAAACAAGAATTAAGAATGACTTACCACTAGTGGGATGATACTAGGTAAAAGCTATTTATGGTCTTTAAGCCATTTTTTGATCTTGCTTGAACAAAATTCTATAGTTATTAACAACAAATAAAAACTATAAACTTTTAATCAGTGTCTAGAAAGAATGCTTAAGACAGTGTTTTTTTAATTGTGATTGTCATTACTACAAAAATTAAGTTTAATCTTTATTTAACAGTTTTACGTTTTATAAGCATTGAAGTAAATAATGGAAGATTTTTTACATAATTAATTATTATTATTAACCATGAATCCTCTTAAAAGATCAATGTTTAATAATATTACTTTTAATAGTTGATCTAAAATTAATTTAAATATTTGAGTGCATAGAATACAAAAATGCAATATAAAAATGTGTTTATTAAATTACCCCAAAAACCTTAGCTTATATATATGGTCTGGATTGAAACCAATTCAATAGGAATCAAAATCCACTACACTAATATTAATATATAACATCATAACCCTACACTTGGACCTCATATCATCTTTTACTCTCAAAAGGATGGAAGGCAATTAAAGTTTTGTAGCAGGATTTGGAAGAACATTAAAAAGAGGCATTAGTGAATTTGTAGGTGGTGTAATTTTTTTCTGATCCATTTGTAACTATTGCACATACACAATTTTGAAGGATCAATTTATTGAATATTGTACTGAAACTTATGAACTTGTGGTCTAATTTGTTGTAAAATTTAATATCCATTCCATTAAGCAAGAAGCTCTTTAGACATACTATATATTGTAAAATTGGGAAAATACACCAACACTAGATTATCCATTATGTACTTTATATATAAATAATGATAAGAGTTGTTTTTTTAAAATTAATAGCTCTTGGCAATTGCAAAGATAAACTCAACTTCATTAGCAATTTTAATATGGTGAAGCACCAATAGTTCTCTGTACTTGATATATACATACTAGACATATAGAAAATGACTATCACAATTTGAATATTAAAAATTCACAATTATCCTTTTAAAGGTCCAAAAAAAGTATTCCACCAAACTATCTATTTGTGGATAATAAACACTCGTGAAAGTGTAGTATATCCCTAGTTGAGATTTCAAGATATGAAATGCCTTACTGATAAATGCAAAACTATTATCTAATACAATCAACTCTAAACAAGAATGCTAAAACACTATTTGATTAAAGAAAAAGTATCTAATAGTCATAAAGGCACTAGCAAGAGCACCAACTTTCACTTAAAAAATTAAATAGTAATAACATTATACTCATTGCCAATAGTTAATTATGGAAAGGCCCTATCAAATCAAATGCCACTAGTTTAAACTAACGAGAAATTACAATTAATTTTAACCCTCCTTTCGCAACAAAAGAGGGAGTATTATGAATTTGGCATCAAATGTAATTATGCACATATTGGATAATATTACATCTCCAATCAACTTTTGTAACTTCTTAGTCATATTACAATGTTCTATATACCCACATAGATTAGAAGAGTCATGGCAATTATGAAGAAAGTGTGGAATAAAGATTGAAGGCAACCAACCACAAATTGTCATTAACATTAATTCTCACAAAATAAAGAAGGTTATCCTTAAAATGATATTAAGAATGTAAATGCTAAAATGGCAAGTCATCAACAAATGATGCCAAAAACCTTTAGTAGATCCAAGACTCAACTTGTGATCTTTACAAACCTTATTAAAAGAAGGTTAATCTAACTCTATATCTTAAGGGTATTGAATGACATGGAATCATTATCCAAAAAAATTATTAATGTTGGAATAATAAGTTTGTCAGGAAAATGAGGAAAGAACAAAGAAGGGAAATGTGTTTGAGAAAGGGTGTCAACATCAACCATAAAACTCTTCAAGCAATGAATAACTTTGAAATCATATATTTAAAATTTCAAAACCTATTGAGCAGTATGACTAATCACATTTTTCTGCTTTAATAATAAAGTGACTATAATATGATCACCCTTTAGTAACATTTAAGAACCATGAAAGTATGCATGAAGCTTTTTAAAATCCTAAATTGTTGCTAAACACTCCTCTGTCATCACTCTTTTGCATCAACATACCTCTGAAACCAATATCAAAAGCATTCACATATAAGATAAAAGATCAAGTGTAATTAGGATATGCCAAAACTAAAGGAGTTGTTAACACCTTTTTAAGATCCACAAATGTCCATTTATAATCTTCAGACTAAATGAAAGATGGACATTGATGACTTTAGCAACATTTATAATGGTGTAGTATGATTAGAAAAATGATCAACAAAATTATCAAAATATTACACCTTACTAAGAAAGCATTGCACATGATTTATATACTTTAGAGTAAAGATCTTTAGAACAATGATAAATTTGTCAGTGGAACAAAAATGAAAGGAATAAAAAAGATATGAGGGAATATGAAACAAAAAGGGAGAAACTTCAAAATTATATTTGGCATGATTGTATTGCACAAAAATGATGTCAAAAGCTTAACTTGGCACCATTTATAATGATTGTAGCTCAAATTTATGATCACCCACATGCATAACTAAATCTACCTCATCCCACACACACATATGTGTGTGCCCATTGTCATAGATAATAAAGATTGGCTCTACCGTATGATACAAATATAGATAACAATATAAAGCGTTATAGATGAAAATAAACTTTAACCTATATCAACTAACACAGAGAAGATAACAAAGGGACCTTTTGTTATAAAACTAAATTTAAAAAGTGAACATTGGTTAAATTAATACCAAGTGAATCTTTATTGTTGAAAGAAGCATAAAAGGGTCACTGAATTATTCACACAACACCAATATGATATTTTAATGTTAAGGCTTCCACCTAGGAAATGAAGGATGCCAAGTTAGGAAAAGCCAACAACACTAATATGTGTGGTTAATCTTATCATGTGCCTAATAATGAACCTTATAGCCATGATCACATTCTTGTCTTTGTTGAAAAGAAACATTAAAAGTGACTGGTGTAAGTGCATACACAAGTCCCAAGATTTGCACGTGCTTCAACTCCCACTTGAACATAAGCAACAACAATGTCAACCTCCATTGAAACAAAATTGGAAGGTGGAGTTACAACACATGCAAATCTTCACAAGTGAGAGAAATGATATTATAGTATTATGTTAGTTGAAAAGTATTGTCAAGGGCCCTATATGAACTTGATAAAGTGCTAGTTATAATATACCCAACTTGATCTATTTTAACATATTGAGCTCTACACGAAGCAAAAGACTCCCAAAATAAACAACAAATTGCATAAATAACTCAGATAGCTCTTGATAGAGATAATGCAATTGTTATAAGATCATCACAATCATTAGCATATCAAAATGCATGCTTGAAGATGTCCAGAAAAAAACTCCAATCTACACAAGTGGTTGGACTTAAATTATTATATTATTGTAATACCATCCTTTAGAGATTTGTGTAAATGCTGCTAAGGGGGGTTGCTCTCCAACCGATTAGAATTTCTTAAAGTGTACAACATGAGTTTTTAAATTTCCAATCTAATTTTTTTTTTCTTATAGTATATGTATAGTATGGGTTATCTCCAAAACTTTTTTTAAGGTGGAAATCCATATATATTCACTATAATCAAGTACAAAAATATAAGGCCTAACCATTCAAAAACCATACTCTATAACCACTTGAGTTTTAGGGCAACTAGGAACCAATAACAAGAGGCTTAGTTTCGGCCACAATGGATTAATATTGGAGTTGGTTGTCACCTCTCTCATCTATGAAGTTACTGTAAGTGAAGTATGCAAAATTAGTTAAGAATTAATGAGTAGAGGTAATTACTTATAAGGAAGCTCTCCAAGCTCGTAGTGCTAAGGGAGAGTTTCCTCCCTGGGCTCAAGATCTAACTCAAGGTTTTGCTGAAGAGACTAGATGAAGATGTTATTTGTTCTATATTTTTGCACAGCTACTTTTAATCCTTGTTTGAAAAGGCTCTTTGAAACTTTCCTTGCAACAAGTCCCACTTGGTTATCCATTTTCCTTTTTCTCCCTCTCTAATTTTTATACTTCCTTTTGTTGTTATTACTTATTCTGCCTTAAGTTGCCTCAATATTGCCTTCTCCCATCAGTTCTTCTCATCAACTAATCTCTTTGTTTCTTTTGCATAAGCTTTTTCATTTGTTATAGCCTCTCATTTAGCTTTTCTTCTTGCCTCTTCTTCTACCTTGTCTCTTTTTTGGCTTTTTCCTTGGTCTCAATATGAGCAATGTATTTTAGATTAGTGAGTGAAGTTCTATAGGGAATAGAGACGAACCTCTACTTCTCTCCTGCTTGTGGTTGTCGTTTGTGAGTTCAGCTATAAATTCTTCTATTGTTGGCTCGTGAGCTTCTTCCATTATATAGTTTACATCTACAACAACTATAACACTTAGCAACGGCTCCAAATCATCATCACCATTGTCATCCACACTTATATCAAATGTAAATCTCTTCATCTTTATCTTTTTAAAGTTTCTTACTTGTGCCTTATAAAGCTATAGCCATGTGAAATTCAGCATCCATAGTTGAACAATCAAGAAGATAGAGTCTAGTTTTTTTAAAACCAGCAATGATGTTTGCAAGAGTTAGAGCCTTGTCAAGTGCTCTTCTTGCCATTCCTGCTAAGATTTTTACTAGAGTGCATCCATGAAATCCTGTCTCCATGTACTTAGCATGGATGGCTTTGAACACTACTTTAAAAGGTCTGAAGTAGCACATTAAGAGGTTGCATATGATGTGAAGTATGAGGTGGCATTATGACAATGCCAATTCCTAATTCGAATGCCTTTTTCACAACAGCCTTATTGCTTTGAAAGCCATGACCATCCATCACAATGCAAGCTCAATTTGTTGGAGAGATGCCTCTTGGGATGACTCTTGCAAAATGTTCAAGGAAGTAAGTAAGCCCATTGTTGCTCATCCATGCATTAGATTGTACTTGCATGGATGCTCTAGGCTTGCACAATTCCAACCAGTCTGCTCAATTATGCCTTTAGAATATGTAGTGATTTGGAAGGTTCTAGCCATCTATAGCAATAGCATAAATGATTGTCATCCTTTGACGTTCATTTGGAACAACATTAAAAATTATGTGCACTTGCTTGTTAGATACCATATGACAGCCTTGATCAAGTGTAAAATAGAGATTTTATTTAGTGTGGTTTTGGTCTGTCTTTGTTTCTTGTATGCTTGGATGTAAATCTTTGTAGAGTTTTGTTAAGTACACCAAGAAATATTTAAGGACTTCCAACTCATTCAACTAAGGTTTGAAGTGATCTAGATTCTAGAGTTATAAAAACAATTGAATGTGACTAGTAAAATTAGTTGCTACATCAATTGGTTGGATGCTTGATTAGATAGAACATCAGATCAGTTAGAGATAATACAAAAAGTAAATTTAAACAAAAAAACCACTTCTAGAACAATTCAAGATGCCCCTTAACTCCACTAATGTAAGTGCACTGGAATATAAAATAGAATTCATAAATATGCACTACACTAATATTAATATATAGCATTGTATCTGGTCCTCACAAACTAACAGTGATAATTTTTATTAACAAATTATTATACGTTAATACTTTTGAAATTAACGGCTGCTTTATTTATTTAAGGTTTTATAAGGCGGGAAAATTCAACGAGGTAGGGCATGGCATCTCTGTCTTCTCACATTCTAGTCCTTCCCTATCCTGCCCAGGGGCACATCCCTCCTCTCATCGGCTTCTCTGTGGCACTGGCGGATCGCGGCGCGCTCGTGACGCTGGTGAATATTGCGAGCATCGATTCCAGGATCCGGGAGCGTTGGACATGGCCAAGGGAGCTGGAGGGCAGCATCCGGTTCGAGAGCTTAGATTTCCCCTACGAAATTCCTCAAGGGTACGATGCGTCCTGCCATGTAGATCAGGGAAATTTCGTCCAGGCCCTTCGCGGCGCGCAGGTCCCATTCGAAGATCTGTTGAGAGAGATGCTTAATCGCGGCGAGCGAGTTTCGTGCATCGTCGCAGATTATCTCTGGGGATGGCATGTCGAGTCTGCCAAGAAATTTGGGGTTTCTTGTGCGTCCTACTGGCCTGGGAGCGCGACTTGGATCAATGTCCACTACCATTTGCCCCTTCTTATATCAGCCGGTGAGGCACCGATTAAAGGTAAGATCTGTTTAAACTCTTCTCTCGTGACCATTTACGTAGATGGCGACGAAAGAACGATTTCCTACGTTCCGGGGCTCTCTCCAACGAAGCTCAAGGATTTCCCATACTACGCAAGGATGGAATTCAAGGGAACGCTCGAGTATTTGATGCAAGAGCAAGAAAAAACTCTCAGGAACTTCGATGACAACTCGTGCTTACTGATAAACTCGGCCGAAGAGTTGGAACCAGATGCATTCCAGTCCTTGAGAAAAGTTTTTGGAGAGAAGTGCACAGGGGTCGGGCCACTTTTTAATCTAGATCCAGCGAGAACAAGGCTTTGTCACAGCTTGCGAGAAGAAGACGGTGGCTGCATAGCTTGGCTGGACACTCAAGCTCCAAAGTCGGTGCTTTACATCTCCTTTGGCAGCGTTGTTGCGCTACCCGACTTGGACCTCCAGGAACTCTCAAAGGCAGTGTTAGAAATGGAGAGGCCTTTCCTTTGGGTGCTTCCGCCAGAGCAGAAGAACGAAAGCACCAAAGAGATCACCGAGGCAGCAAGAGCTTCCTCCTTCACAAGAGGCCGGATAGTATCCTGGGCACCGCAGCTCCAAGTTTTGTCACACGCATCGGTGGGAGGATTTCTCAGCCACTGCGGCTGGAACTCAGTGCTCGAGGCCGTGACAAACGGAGTGCCTGTGCTGGGGTGGCCATGCGCGATCGAGCAGAACCTCAACTGCAAGGTGCTTGTTCACGACTGGAAGGCTGGCCTGAAGATCGACAAGGCCGAGAAGGACGGGATCAAGGCCGCGATCGAGAATCTGATGGGAGGAAGCTGGCTTGATCGTGCACAGGAACTTCGTGAGGTTGTTCTAAAGAGCGTGAAAGCTCGTGGGCTTCTAAGCGATCCGGTAAAGTATACTCCATTTTTATCCTTGTGGATGATAACCCGTAGTCTTGCAGGTGTTGGAAATCTCTCGCTCAAAACGATAAAGGTATGTCTTCTCTTTGGGCCATAAAGTTTCTTTGAGCTTGCCGATTTGCTTTAGTCCATTTTTTGCCTTGCCATCCATAGTAGTTTGAGCAATGCATAGTGCGACGTGCAATACTTTCTATTTGTCCCTCACTCGGTCGGTCATGTCCAGCCTCTCATGTTTTAATTATATCAGACCTTGATTTTTCAAGTCTATATTAACTTACAAAACTACAAAGTGGAGCATTACCGACTTTGTGTGACACATGGCATTCTACGTCGGGACGACATCCTGTGTGTGAAGCCCGAACGCTTGGAGTTGTGTGGCCCCTTTAAGTTCGCGCAATATCCAGTCGAGGGTGGTGTTGGGCTGATCGAGTCCACAACTTGCGTAGCAGAGCTCGTGAGCCCAACTTCGCATCTACGTCCCGGGCAAGAGGAGCAGTTGAAAGAAGGATCTCCCAGGCGGACAACATCCTGGCGTGCTTGACTTTGCGGAGAACTGCCAGCAGTCGTCGTGACTTACATCCCCAACTTGGTGCTCTGGCTCCGACAGTCGCTTGGGGAGAGCGGGTTATCAAAGCATAGTTCTACGGGAGAGTGCCATATGCTGGCTTGTACTGGCTGCTGTGCAACGAGGATCCGAAATGCTGCAAGCACCGCGCCCGCTACAAAAAAATGTAGATCTTGGCGAGAGCAGCGGCGCCGCTGTGGAGAGTAGTGATGGAGCGATAGAGCAAGACATTTTCCAGGCATGTCGATCCAGACAAGGTCGCTTCCAAGAGAAATTTATTTTGTTTTAACAAAGTAACGCACTGCTGGTCTAGCGGTAGAATAGTTCCCTGCCACGGAACAGACCCGGGTTCGATTCCCGGGCAGTGCAAGGTTTTACCATGTGCATTGGGGAGGAATGGGTACAAACCGGCCTATCATGAAGATTCTTTTAAAGCATTCAACTTGTCAAGGGGTAGATAGTAGCGTTGGGACACGTGGTCCCAATATCAGTTAAAAACTAAAATATCAGCTGGTATGATTTTCTTTTGCCCAGACCTCTGATTCTGCGCCTTTGGGCTCCCGCTTACGTGTCGCGCTCTCCTCTAACCACGTCACATACCGACGTGTTTTATTAGGGCACAGATGGCATGTTAAAACACTCGCGAACTTCGAGTCCGTGCGCGATCTTCAGAAACTTTCCAGTTCTCTAGCAGTGGTTTCTGCCCGTCCAATGACCTAACGATCAATTTGCTATTGTGTTACACCGTCAATGAAGAAAAACTGTGTTTGCTGATCACAACATCAATCTGGAAGAAAAAAAAAGAGAAAGACCGTTAGAAACCGTCTTAAAACCGTCTTAAAACCAGTGAAGGAACAAACCGCTAACAGTGTTGTTGTCAGCTGAAGTGGTCGCTTCTCGCACCGAAGTGCTAGCAGTAGTGTTGTCAGCTGAAATGGCATGGCCGGTTATCCCGCCAGTGTTTATAATATCTATAACGATCGTCCTGCAAGTCTGCTTAATCTGGAGGAAGAAAGAAGAAGAAAAACGTTGGTTAGAAGCGTGCGTAAAGTTGTTAAAGCGTAAACTTGTTACCTCGTAAGCAAACTGAAATGGTGATTGCGTTCTTCTGGTTGTGTTGTCTAGCTAGCACAGCTTTAAGAAGAACTTTAGAATGACTCCTACAAGATCTACATCTACAAGCAAGTTCACCAGAACATAAGCATCTCGATCAAAGCCATGAACATCATGAACAGCTTGGTCCATGATATGTTCGGGCGGCTGTCCACCGAGGCCGGGTAGAGACAGTAACAAGGCCACCATCCAGAGCTGCGAAATCCAAGACGAGGTCCAACCCTTGGTGAGGCTTATCTTCCCTGGCGAGCTAGCAAAGCACGCAATCTCCGAGGGAACTAAGAGTATGTTAGCTCCTGACCGGGTTGTGGATGGACAAAATGGTAATTACCTCTCAGAGTAGACAAAATTTGGTGAATAGTATTGCAGCGAGTGGGAGCAAAAGCCGAGGATCGCGAGCGGACAATGCTTTTCCAGGCATTAAGCTGTAAAGATCCTGTTAAGAAACCACAAATCCTATGATAACAACGTACCTTCCTTTGTAGATACACGAGCCGTAGGCTGCCAGCCATTTGCGTCAAGTTAGAAAACACAAAACTTTCTCGATAAACTTAACTCGGATCGGCAATCGTGACGGCTGCTGCTCCTGAGAAGTCGCAAGCACTGGGATCCATCCCGTTGCTCTGGAAGTAGCTGTTAAACGCATACGATGCGTGTGAAGCAACCGTGTCGGGAAGATAGCAGGACTGGCCCGGTTGAATAGCCTGGCAATCGGCATGGCCTGGTCCGCAGGCCCAGTCCAGCGCAATCTGTAAGTCTGTGAAGCTGGCATTCGGATTTGCGACGCAAAAGCTCCGGTTCCGCTGAACCACAATACTGTTACCAAAATCAATGTTGTACACTTTGGTCCCATCCGGCTTGAAAAGACCCCAGTTCCTGTTGGAAGTCGGGCCCTCCCTCAAGTCCTCGTTGAAAAGCTCGAAAATGTAAGTATCCGTTGTGATCCCCGGCCGGAATGGAGTGCCACTCCCATTGCTCAAGTGCTTGATGAGATTCCCATTGTAGGAAGCAGCATTGTCGAGGTTGACGACGTTCACCTCGTCCGCATTACCCATGGACGGCCACCCGGTCTCGCTCACAACTATAAGGATCTCCCGGTGGTTGTACGCGGCCATTGCGTAGTAGAGCGCGTCGAGCTGAGCGTCGAAGAGGTTCCAGTAGTGGAGGCCCGAGTTGGAGTCCGTGAAGCCTTGGTTTGGCCGGAAGAGTGCAAAGTCGGAGGAGATGTATCTCATGTCGTTCCGGTACGCGTAGTAAGGATAGACGTTGGCCATCAAGTATGATCCAGTCCGGCTGAGAAACTCGAGCAACGATTGCATCACCGCCGAGAACCTGGGATCGAAAGTGGCCGACGATGGCGGAAACGACGTCCCAAGAACACCCATGGAGAGTGGCGTCGAGACTTTCACCTGTTTGTCTATCCCGGCTTGCTGGAGAGCCGAGTAGATGTTGGTCATGGCTGCAACCAGATAGCCAGCGGCATTTGGAGCGCTCGTGATCACCTCCGAGCCAACGGCAATGGCAACGATCTTGGTGGCCGGAAGAGCTGCCGCTACGTTTCGTGTCACCCAGTCGGCAGCGTCGCCCTGGGACTGCCCGAAATCCACAACCTGTGCGTTTGTGGTGCCGATGACGAGCTCGATCTGTGTGTTTGCGAATGCCTGGAGAGTCTCGGCATCGTAGGAGAAGATCCTGACCTTGGTGATCGATTGCGCCTGGATGAGCTGCACGGCCACTTGTGGAGGAGGAAGATTATCCCCATTTCTTCCATAGCACACTCCGACAGAGCTGGCGCCTAGCAAGAAAAACGAAAGAAATAAATGAGAGCGAGCGTCGATCGATCTTACCACAGACTGTCGCGACGATCCAACAAGCGGCAACAAGACATCCGGCAATGCGGTATGAGCGCCGGAACATCGGATCGCGAAATCTCACCCCCGGCAGCACGAAATCTCTCTGCCGATGCCGCTGGATCGCGCGGAGCTCCTAGCGAATGCGCCGACGATCTTCTTCTTGTCCCTAGCGCCGTGAATCAGCATGACGATGACGCACCCGCCGCAAGAATCCGGGAAAACGCCAAGCGCGCTCCAGCTGCGGCCTACAATCCCTGCCGCGATGATGCGCTGCCCCAGAAATCTCATCCAGGTAGAAGAAAGAAACAAGGAGGAGCAACCGCATTGAAGATCAAGACCTAGGCCGGGGAAGATCGGCGCAAGGGAAGAAGAAGAAGAAGAAGCGTCGCGGGCGCCGCGATGATCGCCAAGAGGAGAGAATAGGGAAGAAGAGAAAGAAAGACCCGAGAGACCGCGTCCTCCTCCTCTTCCTCCATGGCCATTGGATTTTTTCTTCGCCTCGTTTCCTTCTTCGCCGTGCGTTTCCCCACGCAGCCTGACTGACGGACTGACGGTCAAACCGGTCAAGGGCATCGCCTCGTCTTTCCGGAATGGAAAAGCCTACGCGATTACAGATTTTTTACAAGGTGGAGCTCGCCGCACGGTATACGAGTACCGCGGCGGTGCACTGCGCGGTACGGTTGCTGGTCGCCTAAGTCAGATGAATATGGACTCGAGAAAGCAAGGTCTGATCTTACAATATCTATAGACCATGACAAGGAGAGAGCACAAGTGCTCGCATGGATAGATCCAGAAAAGATGGACAAAACCGACCGAATGAGGGACAAAAAAACGTCCCGCTATAGAATGCTAAACTGAGATTATGGCTGGCAAGCGGCAAACTCAAAAGAAATTAGATTTATGGCCCAAAGAGAAGAGATCGATCCATACCTCGACAAAATGCTGGTTATGGATCACACCTTGAGACCTACTGGAACATTTTGTTATACTTGTGAACATTTTTCTTAGTGGCAGCTGGAGCCGATTTCGTCAATTGGTGACACAATCAGGGAAAGCAATGCGGAAGCATTAATTTCGATTTGGCATTTTAAATTAATTGTTCGCTAGAGGGAGGGGTCGAACCTCCGACCTTGCGGTTAACAGCCGCACGCTCTGACCATCTGAGCTACTCCAGCTTTACATTACTTAAGTGTAATTTTCAGCTAATAATTTCTTATTCACTTTAATCCTCAGATCAAAGAAGATCTTCAGAATATCCTCAGAATATTCCTGTAGTCCATTGCGTTGGATCACCACATCACTCTCGATCACACCCTGTGTCAATCCACAATGCCGCCCCACAAACCATTCCCCGGTGCCAGTGATTCGACTCCCAATGGAGAGCACTCGAGCGACGAGACTGAGAAAAACTTTAGGGTTCTCAACATTAGGGCTCTTGGGATTGGAGGGAATGGGAGAGGGCGATGGCGATCTGGAGGCCCTGGAGGAGGAGGTGAGAGAGATGGACGCGCGCGTCAAGAGAATGCGCAGCCAAGGCCCCGCCAGGTTTAAATCTTTGCTCCAGGACCATCTTGTCAAGCTCCGGCCCCCTCCAACGCTAGAGCCGCCGCTACACACGCCATATCTCGATGGAGTAAATGGTTAGTACATAGCTAGCTTCTCATTCCTCCTGATTGAGTGAGAGAAGAATGTCTGGAAATTCGCAGGTGATTTGTCTGCGATCCAGACCAGACGGTTGGAGGTTCTCAATTCGCTTCCCGGATTGCTGGAGCGCATCAACAAATGCACGGATGATCTCTCCGCCACTCTCGCCAAGCTCAAGCACAAGCGATCTTACGACCTGGTTTTCGAGCTCCCGCATCCAACACTACCCGAGGAGGATGGCGATGGCAGCCTCGCCAGTCGATTCTTTCCAACTTAGCCGCCGTCTCTCTCTCCTGTACAAACAAGGAAGAACAGCACAGCGAATTCATCAACAGGGACAGTAAAAGAACCAACAAACACAAGAAAATTACTATACTACCACCTCGTCGGCATTAATTTGCTTGTATCCTTCTGACTTGTAAGTGTTCTCTCGTTTGTAACATTCGGTTTCTGTCCGTCCATTGAATGTTTATCAATCAGCCACTGTGTTTGCTGATCACAACTTCAATCTACCTCTCAAGGTCCGGGATTGATCCAGCTTCTACTCGAAGATTTTCAGCTTCCCAGCCTGCAAATTTACGGCTCTTGGATCACAAGACTTAAGTGAAAAGAAGAAGTGCCCTTTCCAAGCGAGCGAGCAATTGGTACCAGCAAAAACTCCGCTTCAAGAACAGCATCTCAGTCACAAGTTCCCAAAGAAAATGCCTGGCCAAGATGTCTGCTTGTCTTTCTGCTCAAGTCGAAATTACAATTAACTATTGTAAAGCTTGAGTAGCTCAGACGGTCAGAGCGTTGTTAACCGCAAGGTCGGAGGTTCGACCCCTCCCTCAAGCGAATAGATGAGAAGGGCTTTTGGAGATAGATGCCAGCTTGCTGCATTATCCATTCGGCTTGGAGCTCCAGGAACTTCTATCTGGCGAAGGAGAATCGGGCTAGCTGAGGAGATTTCAAGATCGTCAGAAGCGTTTTAAAACCAGTAAAACTTTTTACCTCGTACCCAAACCGGTAATGGTGCTCTTCCGGTTCCGTTGTCAGCTGACATGGCTGGTTTTCTCGAGCCGAGCGTCACAACACTTGGAACCTCCACGACTACAGCTCTCCACCTTTAAAACGTTTCGAGCGGCCAGCGCAACGATCACTACCGATGGCAGAGCTGGACTCGAGAATGAAGGCCGTGAAGAAACTCCCATCCACCGGCGGCGGATCGTCGGGGCAGCAGCAGCGCAGCTCCATGAAGAAGCTCAAGGCGCTCCAGGGCGACTCGTACAAGATCTACATCTACAAGGTACTCAAGCAAGTCCACCCGGACATCAGCATCTCGATCAAAGCCATGAACATCATGAACAGCCTGGTCCATGATATGTTCGAGCGGCTGTCCACCGAGGCCGGGCGGCTGGCTCGATACAGCAACAAGCCCACCATCCAGAGCCGCGAGGTCCAGGCCTCGGTCAGGCTCATCTTCCCTGGCGAGCTCGCAAAGCACGCAATCTCCGAGGGAACCAAGGCTGTCACCAAGTATGTGAGCTCCTGACCGGGACGATGATGGCTTTTCAGGCATTACGCTGCGAAGATCCTGTTAGAAACCACAAAGCTTATGATAGCAACGTACCTCCCTTTGTGCAAAATTTCCAGAGATCTAGTGTTCTTTCTTTCAGGAGGAATGAGAAGCTATACTGACCATGCACTCCATCGGCGTCTCCACGAGTTCTGGCCTGGATCCAAATTTCCAGACTTCTCGTGTTCTTTCTTTCTTTCGATCAAGAGGAATGAGAAGAGCTATACTGACCGTTTACTCCATCGAAGCATTGCGTGGATCCAGCGTTGGAGGGGCCGGAGCTTGACAAAGAGCTCGCGAGGCCTCGCATTGTCTTGACGCGAGCGTCCATCTCCAGATCGTCATCGCCTCCTCGCTAATGTTATCCCCCCACCCCATGAGAATCCTTGTCACTCGAGAGCCGGAGAAGATGCTGCCCTAGGGCGCCGAGATCGTCGTCTACGAGCCTTGCGTTGTGGAGAGCGGGATTCTTCGCCTAGGTACGTGCCTGTGGATTTCCAATCCGGCAGCACTTCAAGTTTGTCACGCTGCTCGTCTTTGCAAGACGATCCAGTCCAGACGCACTAAGCAAGGATTTCTCGCAGCGGAACTTCGCCACGGCAGTGGAGCTCTATACACAAGCGTTAAAACTCTCACGCAGCGAGGAAGATCGATTCGTGGGACTCTCCAGTCGAGCGGAGTGCCTTGTGGTTCCAGTTGGGATGGGCTCACAAGGCTCTGGAGGACGCTGAGAGCGCGCTGGATCTCCGGGCTGGAAACGAGAGGAGCCTCCTCCCGAAAATTTGAGCACTATGGAAGCTCCGGCAGTACAGTCGTGCGGAAGCTTGCCTGGAAGAGAGCCTGAAAGCCAGGATCTTCAGGGAGCAGAGCGAGTCCGGCCTTCGCGATCTTTCCAAGTTTCTCACGGGAGGCTGTAGCAAGCAAAGTCCTCCAAACGTTGCGGAGTTCGTCGGTCCCGTTCGAGTCGAGGTGACGAAGGACGGGCGTGGGAGGGGGATCTTCACGACGACGGATGTCCGTCAGGGGGATTTGCTCATCGTCTCGGTGAAGGTTCCACTCAAGCGGGACATGCGAGAGAAGATGGATCAAGGAGACAACAACACGGAGCTCCTCGCCAGCCTTCTCCAGGTGTGCTTGGCATCCAAGAACTCTACGGCATAGCATGGCCGAGGCCGCGATGGATCAGTTGTCTATGCGGCCTTCTCCCAGCAAGCTGGTGGACAAGGAAGCTCCGAGCATGCATCAAATGAACATGCGCAGACCAGTTGCAACAGAAGAGCTCGAGTTTGATGTGATGAGGATCCGAAACATCCTGGGCTGCTCCACGGAGTTCGTCCTCTCCGAAAACTACAGCGACGAGTTCGCGCTGCCAGCCTTCATCAATCACTGCCTGCCCAACGTGAGCATCCGCAAGTTCGGAAAGTCCATGTTCGTGTACGCTGCTCGCGACATGGAATCAGGAAGCGCGGTCGTATGGCTACGCGCTGTGGCCACGGGTGGTGAGAAGGTCGACGACTGCCACTGCCAGAGGTGCCATCTTGAGAAGAAGCTCGAGGAGCCGCTGTGGGGGATCACTAACAAGTTTATGGAGCTTCTGGCAGACGAGAGGCTAATGATAGAGCAGTGTGGAGATTACATCCAAGTGGCCGTGGATCTGAAGAGGTGTTGAGCTTGCAGGAAGGTATGGATCCGAGCTTCACATCCACCTTTCTTACTTTGGATGTCGAGAAGAGGCAGAACTAGTGGACAGAGGAGGAGCTGCAATGCTTGATGAAATACTCTAGGGACTGCATGACATTGCTCCATGTCAATGGTTTACTGAGGTTTGTTTAAAAGGAAATCTGTGCCAACATTTTAATCCTGTAAAAATAAATTAGTTTAGGGTTCTAAGTGTGTGCAAATATTGTTTAGTTTGCTTAATAATAGTGTTTTTCCTATTTCATACAGCAGTAGTGTTATTTTTATTTACTAATTCAATTTAATCAAATAGAAGTTTATAATTATAAACATGTTTATAATTTATAATTATAATATTAATCTTATTGTATATCAACCATTAGATAGTAGAATAAACTAGAATATACTAGAAAGTTTTAGGAAAGTTTATAAATTATTAAAATATTTAAAAATTATAAATACAAAACTAATTGTGAGTGCTTGAAATATAAAAGGGAATACAAAAAATGTGCATATCAATTAGCCTAAAAACCCTAGCTTATATATAGGAACAAGTGGTCCGGATTGAAACCAATCTGATAGCTACTAAAATCCCACTATGCTAATATTAGTATACGGCATCATAACCGTACACTTGGCCCTCACATCATCCCCTCCTCTCAGAATAATGGAAGACCATTAGGGTTCTCTTATAGACGGGCCGGGATCTGGAGGAACATTAGGAGGAGGTATTGGTGGATCTGTAGGTGGTATTAACTTCTCTTGATCCCTTTGTATGAAGTATTTTAACTACTGCACATGCACAATCTCTGGAGGATCAACCTACTAGACGTCATGCCGAACCTCATAAATTTGTGGTCCAACTTGCCACAACACCCGATATGGTCCTTTCCACTGCGCAAGCAGCCCCTTAGATAAACCACATACCGTAAGGAAAACGGACTAACACCGAATCATCCACTTTGTACTCTGCAAGTAAACGATGATGGGAGTTGTAGTGCCGTTGTTATCCCATTTGTATGCGGCCTAAGTGTTTGGCAGATTTTACTCGAACAAGCGGAAGAATGCTCGTCAAATATTGATCCCACGACCTAGCATCAGCAGTTCGTGGCAATCGCAAAGGTAAACCCAACTCCATTAATAATATTGCATCATGACCATATAAGAGTTTATATTATGAAGCACCAATAGAACTCTACACCCCTATGACATATGCATACCAAAGAGACAGTAAATAACCATCCCAATTCGAATGCTGAAAATTCACATACTTCGCAATCATCCCTTTGAATGTCTGAACGAGCCATTCCACCAGACCATTTGATTGTGGATGATAAACACTAATGAAAGTGTGGCGTATCCCCAACCAAGATGTCAAAACATGAAATGCCTCAGTCATAAATGCAGGACCATTATCCGAAAGAATCCGCTTTGGACAAGAATGTTGGAATACCATTTGATTGAGGAAGAAGTATCCAATAGCAGTTGTATAGGCACTAGCAAGAGCACCAACTTCCACCCAACGAGTCAAGTAGTTAGAAGCAATAATAATATACTCATTGTCAGCATTCGATCATGGAAAAGGTCCTATAAGATTAAACGCCACCAACTCAAATGGATGAGAAATTGCAATTGACTCTAACTGTCCTTCTGCAGCACGAGGGGGAGTATTACGAACTTGGCACCAAATGTAGCTATGTGTAAGCCACAAATTTTTCCTTTCCAATTTGCCAGCTTACCTCGTCTATCTGACCAACACTGCCTTGGCTTGTGCTAAGTTCCCTTGCCAAATTTCTCACCTATTATACCAACTCCTACTTGGTCCTACTTAGTTTCAGCTACTTACTGCACGAGCAATGGAGTGTTAGCCATCCATCTACGGATTCCCAAATCTCTCCCAATCCCCCTCCCCGGGTTAGACTGGACTTAAGGTTCGGTTACACTCCCCGCAGGCACAAACAACCAAGCACACCAAGCCTCTAGGTTCCTAACACCCCTTAGTACAACAAGACTTGATCATGGGACCCTCTAAATCCTAAGCCTTGGGTGCAGCACTTGTTTCGGGATGTCGGGGCGAAACACCGTGGCCTAACGGCCCGGTATAGGTACCTCTACCCCCCCCACTTCCATCCCGAAGGGAAGGCCCAAGCCCCTAAGAAGGGCGAGGACCAATGAGCCGCAAGGTACTCAAGTGGGGCACCACTCCACATGAGCCGGGAGCACTGCAGTCAGTTTCCCTTTCGGGAG